TTCCTTTTGACATGATCCTAGCAGTCTTTTATAGTGTCCTTGATTTCTGGTAGAAGATTTTCTAGTCTTGTTACATGTTTAGCTCCAGACCAGGAATTAGCAATTTCTTCAAGGAACGCTGTTTCTCTTTAGACAAAAATAGTAGAGATCATAAAATGCATGGTAGGGCTGCTCTTTACTCCAGAGGTTAGTCATATTTCCAGTTTAAACTTAGGACTATAATGCTTTTACTCAACCTAATGTATATTCTTTTTTTGTTTGTTTGTTTGTTTTTTGTTTGTTTGTTTGTTTTGTGGTACGCGGGCCTCTCACTGTTGTGGCCTCTCCTGTTGCGGAGCACAGGCTCTGGACGCGCAGGCTCAGCGGCCATGGCTCACGGGCCTAGCCGCTCCGCGGCATGTGGGATCTTCCCGGACCGGGTTACGAACCCGTGTCCCCTGCATCGGCAGGCGGACTCTCAACCACTGCGCCACCAGGGAAGCCCATGTATATCCTTTAATGCCAGAAATCCCAGTATTCAATAACACAGTTACTCATTTTCTTTATCCCATAATGCCCACATAACAGTCTCAGAATCGTAGACTAGCAGTATTATTTCTGAAAACTATTTCTTCAGTGCTTGTTATCTTTAGAGTATACCCTGCTAGGATATCCAATTAAAGTCATTTGAAATAGTTCTTTGTGTGATTCTCCTCCCAATTAAATATACAGTTAGTTTGCTTTATGTTTTGGGGATTTCTTTTTCAAATTTAATTTTATAATTATGTAAAATATTTACATGGTTCCAAAGTCAACCAAATAAGGTATATTCAGAGAAGCCTGGCTTGTACCCTTGTAGCTTCCACCTGGTTCCCTCCGCTGTTGTAGTGATTTTCATCCTTGGGAGCTTTTAAAAAATACTGATGCTCAGACTCCACATCACATTGTAAAGCAACCATACTCCAAAAAAATTAATAATAAATAAATTTTAAAAATAAAAAAAATTCAAAAAGAAAGAATAGCAGCATTCTTTCCCTCTTCTGACCCATAGAGAAAGCAGAATGAATTTGTGTGTGAAATCATGGTGGATTTTTTTTTTTTGTCTTCTCTGTTTTCCTTCCCTTCCGTTCTCTGTTTTTTTTCTTAATTGTGAGCCAATGAGTCCCATAGTTTATTGATTGGGTCTCAGAACCCTAAATGGGGTACTCGGTGCTTTTCTTGGACTTTTCTTGCATCATTGAGTGTTCCTCCTTTGACACCCTGCTTCTCCCTCATCTATGTTTCCAGGCACCCTGGGACATTTACACTCTCCAAAAACTTTCTTGCCTTTGGGGCTTTTGTCAAGTTATTTCATCTGCCCAGAGATGCACTTTCACCCCCGCCTATGGAGGCTCAGCATAATTGCCACCCATTGGTGGCAGCCCTTCCTGGCAATCCCTTTGTTTGATTAACCACTCTAATGGGCCTGCCCTAACAGCTGCTTTGTAGTCCACTTTTGAGATTTACTGTGCTGTGCTATGTTTTACTATGCTGAGGTCCTCCAAACACAAGGCCCTCATTAATGCCCTGCTTCTGTTATTTGCCTCTGTACACAGCTGGTGTTGCTAACATCCTACCAGCCCAGCTTTAAGTTGAGTGTGCCTATTTGCCACAGCAGTTGTAGAATCTCGAGTCCTGAGCTTTGCCCTGCCCTAGCTGTGCTTGGATTATGTTCTCCGGGTTTGGTTTGGTTTGGGTTTAATATTTATTTATTTGGTTGCGCCAGGTCTTAGTTGTGGCAGGTGGGCTCCTTAGTTGTGGCTTGCCAGCTCCTTAGTTGCAGCTCGAGGACTCCTTAGTTGCGGCATGTGGGCTCCTTAGTTGTGGCTTGCCGGATCCTTAGTTGTGGCATATGAACTCTTAGTTGTGGCATGCATGTGGGATCTAGTTCCCTGACGAGGGATCGAACCTGGGCCCCCTGCATTGGGAGGGTGGAGTCTTAACCACTGCGCCACTAGGGAAGTCCCTGTTCTCCAGGTTTTTATGCCGTATTCTACCATGTTCATAGTGAAGATTCTATTGTCCATCATGTTCAGTTTAAAATAGGAGAGACTTTGGGAAATGTTTCAAATTCTCCAGCATGTTCTTAATATTCACCACATAAAATATTCTACCTGCTCAAAGAACCATGTTTTAATTTCAGGGTATGTCAGCATTTATGAGTTCATTTAATCAGGAATAATGACTTTTAGTGTCCACTGAGATTTCATTTGTTAATATTTTTGAGGCACATGTTTTCAGATCAGGTAACCTAAATTATAAGTCTTCCTATTCCCTATGTATTTGTTTATAATAGAAAAGGAGAGCATTTTAGGCATTGTTTTTCTGCTGGAAGATTTTCTCATACTTACACTGGTTGAATACTTTGACCCATATAAACTCTGATGTGCTCTGTTTTGGGCTATTTAAGCAGTGGTGAAATTACAATAGATGGTCTCTGTCTGCTGTAGTCATTAATTACATTCTCTGTGCCTTGGCATTGTATCTTGCTCCAACTGCAGCTGACCTCTGGCCCTGTGAAAGCTTTTAAGATGTGTACTAATTTAAAACGAAATAACACAGATTTATCAGGCAGCATGTTTGTGTTTTTAATTACATTTTACACTGCAAGTCACTTTTTTTTAAGTACTTTTGAACTCTTTCACAGAGGGAGTGCTTTAGGAATTTAAAAAATCATGTTGTCTTTTTTGCATGATATATGAAAGCATTGATTTTTTTTTTTCTTTTTTTGCGGTACGCGGGCCTCTCACCACTGCGGCCTCTCCCGTCGCAGAGCACAGGCTCCGGACGCACGGGCCCAGCGGCCACGGCCCATGAGACCAGCCGCTCCGCGGCATGCGGGATCCTCCCGGACCAGGGCACAAACCCGCGCCCCCTGCATCAGCAGGCGGACTCCCAACCACCGCGCCACCAGGGAAGCCCGAAAGTATTGATTTTAAGTTTGCATTTTAAAATTTTGATTCCTTCTTTTATGTCTTTGTTTTAAACATACTCTTCTTTTTTTATGATAGTTCTATAATCTTGATATCTCACCCTTTGAAGTATCCCCTGATAGCACCCATACTAAATTGTTTCACTGTGTACTTTATAATTTTAGGTTGTATACTAATGTTTAATGGGGTTTTAATTATGGAAATTCCATGAGGCCTGGGTTGAGGGTTTATGCTGGTGTACATTTCATCTGTCTACCTGAGTGACAAGCACATGTGTTTCAGATGATCAAAGGAAACTCTCCCACATCTCTCAAGCTAGAAAGCAAGCTCCATGAAATCAGGGATCTTTGTTTTGTTTACTAATGTCTCCCAAATTGTCTACTGTAGTGCATGGCACATACTAGGTACTCTACCTATATTTGTTGAACTGAATCACTTCCTTTCCTGGTGGATGGATTAATTTTGACTAATCCACTTTTTATTGAAGAAGTAGTGACAGACTATTGTAGGTACTTTCAGGAATGCTGGGGTTTTCTTTTGACTATTTGCCTATTTGTTCCAATAACATGACTTTGACCCTGTGCTGTGCAAAAAGATAATCCTAATCCTGTTAAGATGAATGAGCATTTGCCTCCTTCCTGGGTCTATGTTTTTTTCAGAGACCTCGCATTAGAGTTTGGCTCTCTGAGCCATCTTCAATTTGTTTTTCACTAATCCTCAAATTTCTGTTTTTTGGAGGGTTATAAGGCATATTTTATATATTTTAAAAATAAAATTAATCAGATTAATGTTTGAAGGTGAAAAAAACCACCTTGTTTATTTTTTTTTATAAATTTATTTTTGGCTGCATTGGGTCTTCGTTGCTGCTTGCGGGCTTTCTCTAGTTGCGGCAAGCGGGGGCTGCCCATCATTGCTGTGTGCGGGCTTCTCATTGTGGTGGATTCTCTTGTTGCAGAGCATGGGCTCTAGGCCCGTGGGCTTCAGTAGTTGTGGCACGCAGGCTTAGTAGTTGTGGCTCATGGGCTGCATGGGTTTAGTTGCTCTGCGGCATGTGGGATCTTCCCTGACCAGGGCTCGAACCCGTGTCCCCTGCATTGGCAGACAGATTCTTAACTGCTGTACCACCAGGGAAGTCCCTCCACCTTGTTTAAATGATATATAGTTCAGTGGTAAGAATTTAGATAACCATCAAACATAAGGAATGTTAGGTGAAAAGTAGGAAAAATTAGCAAAACAACTTTTTTTTGTTGTTTTAACCTAAAAACATGATCAATTTTTCTGATTAATACAGTGACTGTGGGTGGAGAAAATCCACCCGTATTGAGGGAGAGTATAACTTCATGGTTAATTTTTTATTTTAGTGTAATACTCATTATTTTATTTTATTTTTTCAAAAATATTTATTTTTTAATTTATTTGGTTGCATCAGGTCTTAGTTGCGGCAGGCGGGCTCCTTAGTTGCAGTTCACCAGCTCCTTAGTTGTGGCATGTGGGCTCCTTAGTTGTGGCACGTGGGCATGCGAACTCCTAGTTGTGGCATGCATGTGGGATCTAGTTCCCTGACCAGGGATCAAACCTGGGCCCCCTGCATTGGGAGCGAGGAGTCTTATCCACTGCGCCACCAAGGAAGTCCCTCATTAAGTTATTTTAAAATGAAATGTAAATGCAGGTCTAGCAGGTCTTGGGATTATCTTTAAAAGAAGAAAATTTAACTATTTGATATCATAAAATTACCAGTAAATTTAGTAGACTTCTTATTCATTTGGTGTGATACAAATTAGGTGGAACTTGGATGTCAACAGAAATAAAATTGCCACCCACGTTGAAGTTATAAAGAGCTTGTTTTCAAAGACATATATTATTCTTTATATTGTCTTTATGTGATCTTGTTGAACCACTGTCTCTGGCTGATTATGGACGAATATGAATTGATCCACCACTTGGTATTGAGGTTCCTAGTTCTGTTGTCAAAGATCTTTGCAAAAAGGGAGGATAAAGATGGAGTCATGTGATACAATGATGACTAAACATTGCTTCTTTGTTTTGCAGTTCCAGTTCCTAACAGATTTGATCGGCGGCGAGTATCAGGTATGTGTTCTTTTTCATAGCATACTACTGAAATGCTATTTTAAGATGGGATTATCGTAAATAAAAATAAAGTGATCTTTTTAATAAAAAGGTAAGTTGATAGCATTATAGAACATTATAAAAATTACCTGTGGTTCCTTCATTCTGTTTCATTTTAAGTTCTGAGTGTATATGTACTTATTTTTATATTATTATAATCAGTTTGTCTCATTTATGTCATTAATATTTTTCCATGTTCATAATTATGGCTTCTAAAAACAACTTTTCATATTACTTCTTCTGGCATTCTATATTATGCTTGCCATTAGCTTCTTGCTTACATTGTTGAGCCACTTAAATTACTTCCTCAGTAATAGTGCTGGAAGTAGCATTCTCTGGTCAGAGACTGAGCGTTGCCTTGGCTTTTTCTGTGTATTGCTTACTAGAGATAGTCTACAAAATAGGCTACAGGGAGAAAGACACCCTGCAAAGACCTCTTTTCCACCACCATCTCACTAACATAGGCAGTGCCTACTCCTTTCATTTATTTTTTTAATATATTTTTATATTGTTGACTTACAAACATACTCCTTTAATTTAGATGTAAGATATATCTCAAATTGTTTTATTTGGGATTCGTTTGATTATTAACCAAAAATGAACGTTTTCCAAATATGGGAAATCTATTTTATTTTCTTGTATGGGACTAGTTTGATGATATTTTTCCCTTTTATCTGTTGTGCTCGAGATTATTATTTTTTATAAGTGTGAATAAATTTCTATCATGATTTTTAATTTATTGATTGATTGATTGATTGACTTTTGGCTATCTTGGGTCTTCGTTGCTGTGTGCGGGCTTTCTCTAGTTGAGGAGAGCGGGGGCTACTCTTCATTGCGGTGGGCAGGCTTCTCATTGCGGTGGCTTCTCTTGTTGCGGAGCACGGGCTCTAGGTGCGCAGGCGTCAGTAGTTGTGGCACGAAGGCTAAGTAGTTGTGGCTCGTGGGCTCTAGAGCTTAGGCTCAGTAGTTGCGGCACGTGGGCTTAGTTGCTCCACGGTGTGTGGGATCTTCCCGGACCAGGGCTCAAACCCATGTCCCCTGCATTGGCAGGCAGATTCTTAACCACTGCACCACCAGGGAAGCCCCTATCATGATTTTTAACCTTTTGAAATTTTTAATACAAAATTTTCCAGGTTGGTGTGCTACTTATTTTAATTTTGCTGTTTTTTATTGACTCAAAAATTTTGATCTGTGACTGGTACCTTGAACACTACCTGGCACAGAGCAGGTACTCAGTAAATATTTATTGACTATGTACATCTCTTTTTTTTTCATGATTATTCCTAAGCTGAGAAGGTCCCCATTTTTTCATAGAGCTGATAAATATGTTTTCTGAAAGTTTTTCTTATAATAAGATGCTTGACTTTTAGATACATGTGGAGTTTGTTTGATTGTACAGTTGGGATGTTTATGTGTTTCAAAATTGCTATGCGAGCTGTATGTGTCACATCATTCTTTCATATCCCCTTGTTCTGGGAAGGTTTCTTGACTTTAAATTGTCATATGACCTAACATCTGATAAGGCTTAGAATCTCTTTCCTATCCCTCAATCATTTTCTTTGAGAAAATCTGCTCATTTATGTTTTGAGAAAGTTTTTGGTAAGGTTGTACACCAAAGTCTGTTGAAAGGAGTTTGAAGAATGTGTTGTTACTTATAGAAAGTCATTTACAGAGGCAGGACTTCCCTGGTGGTCCAGTGGTTAGGACTCTGCACTTCCATTGCAGGGGGCACGGGTTCGATCCCTAGTTGGGGGGGGGGGTCCCAACATGCCGTGAGGTGCAGCCAAAAAAGAAAAAAAAAAGTCTTACAGAGAGGAAATATAATAGAAATTGAGGCTAGTATGAGACCCATGAGCTACTATCTCCCATTTCTGTTCATCCCTGCACCCCTTTTTACCAAAGATTAGTAATAGCTCTTGACATCTGTGGGACAGGCCTGGGGAATGGAGAGTGCAGTGACATCTCCTCCAGAGGTCACAGACGGTCACAGATGAATTGCTGCGTAGCCTCTCCGTCAATGTGGTTCAGTCCTTGAACTCTACGGAGGACTCAGACGAGTACTGGGTATTATCCCTACCCTTAGCTTTTACAATCTTACTGAAGAGTTAAAACTTTTTAATATCACTCAAATGTTAAGTGAAAAAAAGGGATTCTTAATAGAGTCCAAAATGATTATTCAGGAGAGCAAATAGCTTGTTAGCAATAGCTAACATTTTTTGAGTGCAGGCTGTGTGCTAGGTGCACATTTTTAAGGTCTTTCTAAATGCCTGCCTTGTATTGTTGAATATAATCCTCAGACTAACACTGAGATACATGCTATGATTATCCCATTGTATGGATAGGGAAACTTGGGGGCAAAGCAGAGGTTAAGTAACTTGCAACAGTTGAGGTGATAAAGTGCCCACAGATAGCATGGTTCCTAAGTACTACCCTTTAGCATCCCTATGTACCCTTTCTTATACCCTCTGGAACTCTTGGTCAGTCTTCAGCTAAATCCGTAGACTCAGAGAACAGAGCCTGTTCTCTGAGTGCAGTCTTCATCTTCCTGATCTAGCTGAAACTTGGCCAGCCCTGCAGGCTTTTCAAATGGCTCATTTCTCGTTCACTTTCCTTGTAACACTGACAGGAGGTGGGTGAATATCTCTACTGTTCCTCATTGCTGCTTCCAGGCCATTCTCTCTCCCTCCTCCCTAAAACCCTCCGACTTCAAACCTCACATTATATTCTACCAGCCACTGCCCCTCCTTGTTTTTGTCCTCTAATAACCCCCAGGTTGTTCCTTCTTATTTCCACATAGATAATCCTTGCAGTCTGGTCCTTCCATTCCTTGACCTCCTCTTCTCCAAGGTTCTTGTCTTCCACCCTACTTCAGCCACTCATTTCCATGGTTGTATTGTGGTAGGACCAGCATTACAACTCTTCATATTCTCAATCAGTGATCCCAGTCTCCCACCGCTGCCTGCTGTCTTCTAACAGCTCCTTTGCTGTCCCACTCCAGCTCTCAGAACTCATTGATCCTGTCTCCTTTTCACTTTCTCGCTTCCTCTTTACTAACCTTAAATTTCTTGATCAGTGATTGTAACCATTCCCTGGCACCTTCCCTCAATTCACTTTTCCCTTTTTATTTTCTTGGCTAAACCACACTGTGGTTTAACCCAATTCTCCACTTATTGTGTCTGCACCACAGCTGTACTTGGTTGAGGGAAAATACGCAGCCCTGTTGACTGATCTTATTTCAGTTCATGATCATTAACTTCTAGTAGGCTCTTGATGGCAGCAATCATACTGTGTTTCTATACTTGTTTCACGCCCCTGTTCTCCTAGATAATAAGTCTTTCGTTTCTTCTCTCTCTCCAAACCTCCAACACCTCCTCCCCCATCCTCATTCCTGTCAGATAATCTTCCTCTCAATTTAACTAAGGAAACAGAAGTAACAGAAGAGAATTTCCTTAGGCTCCCACCCCATCTATCCTTCTTAATCTGCCTGTGAGTCCAGTTGTCCACCTGTACACTAGATCTCAACCCTTCATCCTTCCAGCAGTTACCTGTTCTTTATCCTGCATAATCTTTATTCTTCAACTGGATTATTTTTCTCAGCAAAGAAACATATCGTTGGCTCTCCATTCTTAAAAATAAAACTTTAAAAAAATCACTCTTCCCTCTCTAGCTACCACCCTTTCTCTCTCCATATCTTTATAGCAAAAACCCTTGAAAGAATTGTCCATATTTCTAGTTTCTCTTCTCTCTTGAGCCCATTCCAGTCAGACTTTTGCTCCCATATCTCACCAAAGCTACTTTGTGTATTGCTCACTCACATTTTTCAGAAGGAAGGAACAAAGGAAGGATTGAGGAATCAGGAAGAGAAATTACTGGAGGCAGAAATAAAATAAAGAAACACTTCTTGGAGGGAGGCAGAAATTGCACTGGAAGTTGAAAAACATGGTTACTATTTGGCCAGTACCAAGAAGGATGCGTTCTAGGTGGAAGAATGTCTCAAGAACTTGAAGGGGGATAAACTGGAACTGGCTGCTCTGGCTGTAGGAGAGGAGATAAAAGAAAATTGGAAAGATAGTTGGGGAATGGGCTCCTGATGTGATCCAAGGATTTCAGCTAAAACTAGTTGTATGAGGACATGTGCTGTGTCAAACACTGCAGAAGAGACTTCCACAATTCAGGGTGTCTGACTGAATAATAATCTGGAAAGTAAAGCAGCATAGGAGAGCTAACAGTTGTTGAGTGTCTCCTGTGAGCCCGGCCCTAAGTTTAAATGTCACCTCCTATTATTAACGCTTTAACATGGTTCTACTATTGTTATCCCCTCTTAGTGTTGAAGAGACCAAGGACTGGGGACATAGAGAAATAGTGAGTGAGCAACAGATGGACCTAAGCTCAGACTCCAGTGAGTGTAGCTTCATAGATGAGCTTTCCCCCTCCTTGATGCTGCCTCTCCCTTGCAAATCACTGGAATTGAAAATCTGTACCTTCCAAATCCTTCTAGCAGAACAGTCCCTCTACATCGAGTGATAAATGCATCAAATGAAGACAGTCCATAAATTCCTTAAATGCAGTTTTCTTTAAATAGTTCTAAATTAGTGTTAACTTTCAGTTTAAAATGTTAGTGTGATTCTGTTCATTTAAAAACTTCATCCAGGGACTTCACTGGTGGTCCAGTGGTTAAGAATCCTCCTTCCAATGCAGGGGACGTGGGTTCGATCCCTGGTTGGGGAACTAAGATCCCACATGCCACAGGGCAACTAAGCCCACGCACTGTAGAGCCCACGTGCCAAAACTACTGAGCCCGGCGCGCAGTGCAGCCCTCACCACAACTGGAGAGAAGCTTGCGTGGCACAATGAAAGATCCCACGTGCTGCAACTAAGATCCAATGCAGCCAAATAAATAAATAAATATTTTAAAAAAACTTCATCCAAAAAAGAAAAACCCTTTTGTTTCATAAATTTCTGTTGTTTAAGCCACCCAGTCTGTAGTATTTTGTTATGGCAGCCCTAGCTGACTAATATACCCAGGCTATATCAAGTCTTCATGGGCGCTGGCAGGACAGCACAGGGCCTCATGCCTGTGACCAGGATCTGGGCTCATTTCTTTGTAGAAATGAGGGGATTTTCTCTCACAAACACATTTTAGTGATTCACGTTTCTGGATGGAAGAAGCACCAGTTAAAATTTAGAAGAGGAAATTCTGCTGGATAATCTGTTGTTACTTTGTACTGTTTCCGATTACTAACTAGTGACATCTGCTGGAGAACTGTGGCAAAATTAATTCCCTCAAATGAGGGGCTGTGCTGCTCTTTTAGTCTTCATCTTCAATAGGTCTTGACCATCTCATGACCTAAAAAGTGTAGGTCTTTTTTTTAAAAATTTGTTTGTTTATTGATTGATTGATTTTTGGCTGGGTTGAGACTTTGCTGTGCGTGGGCTTTCTCTAGTTGTGGCGAGCGGGGTCTATTCTTTGTTGCCATGCGCGGGCTTATTGTGGTGACTTCTCTTGGTTGCAGAACACAGGCTCTAGGCACGTGGGCTTCAGTAGTTGCGGCACACAGGCTCAGTAGTTGTGGTGCACGGGCTTAGTTGCTCCGTGGCATGTGAGATCTTCCTGGACCAGGGCTCGAACCCATGCCCGCTGCATTGGCAGGTGGATTCTTAAGCACTGCGCCACCAGGGAAGTCCGACATTCAGTGTAGGTCTTGAGGCTGCATAGGGGATGACACAGACTCTGGGACTCCCCGCACTGAGACAGGTTTCCTGATGTGTAGAACCATAAGGGGCAACAATCACATAGACACTTAAAAATGGATTTTTTATATAGAAAATGAGAAAAGTAATTCGGGATCGGTACCAGAAAGTAGAGAGGTTGAGGGTAAACAAAGGAAGAGGGAAAAGGGAGCTGAGTCTGATGTTCAAAAGAAAAGGGAAAAAATGAAAACCAGTTTAAAAAAATAAAGATATAATGTTTTTCACAAATAGAAACATTAAAAATTTTAATGCAAATAACTACTTTTGTTTAAATCATAGTGCTGTACCTTAAGACTTAAAAACTATAACATTTGTTGCCTCAGTTACATTGTCTAAAAATATAAAAATGAGCTAAGTTGCTAAAATACTTTCCTCCAAACTCAGAGGAAAAGCAAGCCTGGAAATAGGCTAGCTCAAGACTAAGTGTCATTATCAGTAAGATCCTGTCAGTCTCATCACTAAAGGCTTATTATTTTCAACTTCTTAAATGAATATTTTCATACATATGCAAAAGTAGAGACAGTTAGTATAATAATACTCATATATCCATCTGTCTCCAAAATGAGTTTTTTTTAAATGCGTATTTCTAAGAAGACATTTTGAAATCCTGGACCAAGGAGTAGCAGAGTAGGCTGAATAAAGGTCAAATATGAGAATATTTCTGAGGTAGAATCTGATGTATTCATTGGGTAAGAGGTGAAAGAAGGAAGCCATGGTGAGTTCCAAATTTCTGGTTTAGAAAGCTGGGTTGATAATGACAACATTAATCAAGAGTGCAAAGAACCAAGAGGTTTGCAGTTTAAAATACTATCTGGTTAGCTGCCCTCTGGCTGCTTCCTCAGCCCCAACCCAAATACCTATGAAGATGTGAAAAGAGGCAGCAATAACATCTAGGAACTCAGGAAGGTGTCTGCCTTAATCTTTAGGACAGATCTGAGATAAACTTGTTTCCTTGTGGAAACAGGAATGGCTTGGAGAAAGATAGAAAGAAAGTCATTATCTACATCCCATTATCACTTCCCTGGCTCAGCTACAAAAGCCTGCACCACCAGGGGCTGGGCAGCACTCTCTGCAGAACATTACCTGATACTGTTTTAGGGACTAGAATGGTGCCTATGCTCTTACTCCCTTCTCCCTGATTTTTCTCCATCTATTTAAGGATACTGGGTCCCTGTTAGACATGCAGAGTGTTGATGGCATTACAGTACAGAAGGCGTGGTCCACACAAGTAGGCTGGGCAGGGAAGGGAGTCCTGTGTACAGGTCATGCTAGGAGTCACCATTTCTCAGGTATTCCATTAGGTCAGAGAATCAATGAGGAAGGGGAAGCTGGGATGCAAGCTAGACCAGGGCTGCAATGAGTAAATGTCTGTAAGAAATCAGGAGTTAAATTGAGAGTGGTATGTATCATCTTATCCCCTCTTTATAGATATGTAGAGATTTTTAGCCATCATACAAAAGAATTGAGCATAGGGTCAAGAAACTTTTATATTTCTTGCCTGCTAACAAATAAGAAATAAACCCTAACAAATAATACAAGGCTTATGAATGAATTTGGTAGATTAAGGCTGTAAGAGGAATGAAGATTAGAAAGGTCCACTACAAAATGCTCATAGAATGCAAAATATCATTGCCTTTATTTTGTTGCATTCTGGGCAACACCAGTGATCACATCTAGATCATTCCTGGCAAAACAGTTTTGTTAGTGAGTACACTAACTTTTTTATTCACTAGATAATTCATTGTGTCTACCATTGTAACACCTAAGGGTAAGATTTTAAAATCATGACTTGTACTGACATCTCCAATTCTAACCCTTCTTCTGTTCCATAATTTTATTCCCCTTTTCTCCAGTGAAAAACATCTGGCTGTATATTTGTTTACTCACAACTGTAGTACACAGAGGAGTTTTGGAATTACTGTACCACTGGAAATAGCAGTTCTTTTTTGTCATTGGAATATATCCCACTGAGGGTGGATGGTTACAGTACTATGTTCAGAAGCTACTTAAAATAATTCTCCTTTCCTTCTCTGTGGTTATGTTATCAACCTGATATGTGGTTAGGTTCATTTGTTTCTCTTTGTATTCAGTTTTAGGGTCCCTCCATCCTTATCAATTTAATTTTTTAAGTATATAAAACATTTTAACATGGCTTAACTGTCAAAACTATATAAAAGAATTTTCTTAGAGAAGTTTCATTCCCTTCCCTATCCCTTCTTTTTTGTTTCTGCCTACCTTCTAGGAAACAGTTTTACTTCTGTCTGGTTTATCCTTCTCTTGTTTCCTTTTGAAAAAATAAATATGTTAAATTTTTTGTATATATATTCATATTTATGTATTTATTCCCTTCCTCCCCACCTTGTTTTTTGGCTGCATTGGGTCTTCGGTGCGGCACACAGGATCTTCCCCGAAGCATGCTGGATCTTTTGTTGAGGCACGTGGGCTCCTCTCTAGTTGTGGTGCTTGGGCTCTGGAGTGCACGGGCTCAGTGGTTGCAACATGCAGGCTTAGTTGCCCCGCTTCATGTGGGATCTTGGTTCCCCAACCAGGGATCGAATCCACTTCCCCTGCATTGGAAGGTGGATTCTTAACCACTGGACCACCAGGGAAGTCCCCCTTCCCCAATTCTTATCATGGAAGTCCTTCTTTATGGAAGGGACAGCATACTATGTAGTATATTCTTCACCTTGGTTTTTTTTGCCTTTTTTTCCCCTAGAACTCACTATTTATTAGCCTATGGGGATTTTCCTCGTTCTTTCTTATAGCTGTATGATTCAAATGGGTACTTATATCATTTATGATATTCTGCTATTATAAACAATTGTTCAGTTAATATTTTTTAAATCTTTGCTTTACAACAAAGACACGTCCTGTGGCCCGCTGGTGCAAACACAGGTTACCTGCAAAGAAAATCAAGTTGGTTTTAGATTTATATAATACTGTACCTAGAACAGAACCTGGCACATAGTATTTACTTTGTTTAAAATTCTTTTTGGGCTTCCCTAGTGGCGCAGTGGTTGAGGGTCCGCCTGCCGATGTGGGGGACACGGGCTCGTGCCCCGGTCCGGGAGGGCCCCGCGTGCCGCGGAGTGGCTGGGCCCGTGAACCATGGCCGCTGGGCCTGCGCGTCCGGAGCCTGTGCTCCGCAACGGGAGAGGCCATGGCGGTGAGAGGCCCGCTTACCACAAAAAAAAAAAAAAAAAAAAATTCTTACTTTTAAGTCATTCATGTACATAATGATGTTGAGATATTTTATTTCAACTTATTCTTTTCATAATTACTCCAATTCCATATCCATATGTTTATATTGCATATACTGTACTTTTTGGTTTTCCATCCCTACTTCATAGCTCAGCAGAGATATTACTTCCTTGCTTGTCCTTGCTACTACCATAGAATTTAGTAGATAATATTTTTTATCATCTCTCTCCTGTTTGGACTACCAATCCCTAGAGAGCTGGCTTTTCATCACTAACAGAATGCCTGGCATTACTAGGTACTTAATATATTTGTTAATTGAAGGAAGGGATTACAAAAATCCTTATAGCTTTAGAAAACAGTGAATAAAAAAAAATTGTGTCCACTTCCTATTTTCCAGTAAAACACACATCTGTTTTATTTATTTTTCTCTTTATTTTCTCTCCAAATTTAGTCTGTGCTGAGACCTATAACCCTGATGAGGAAGAGGAGGATACTGATCCAAGGGTAAGAACTGCAGCAAAGGTATTAGGTAGAATAATTTTAGTCCCCACTCACTCCCCTCCTCCTCTACATACCAAATCTAATCATGCTGACATTTAAAATAAATACAAATTAAAATCTCAGCAAGATGCCATCTTTTAACTAACAGATTGACAAGTATTAAGAAGAATGAAAACAAGATTGGTTGAGGATATGGTAAGGAGGGATGCCTAGCTGTAGCTGTCAGAGCTTTATACTTAGTCAAGCCAGCTGACTCAGCAGTTACGTGAAGGAGAATTCATCCCTAACAAACAGTTGGGTCCTTTCTAAGGAGATTATTGCAGTATTGTAAAATTGAAAAATGGAAGCAACATAAATGAACCAAAATAGGGGATGCCAAGGGCTAAATTAAGGTACATTCAAGTCAAGAGAATCTGCAGCAATTGGAAATGATGGTACAGGACTGGGCTTAATGACATGGAATGATGTATATTTGAGGTACATTTTATAGAGCATTTTATAAAATAAAAAATAATTTAAAAATATCTATCCGTCTGTCTACCTATTTACTTATTTACTTGTTTGTGCAAAGATTTATACCTGGAAGGATATATCCCAGATATTAACAGTAGTTGTTGTAGGACTATGGTTGATATTTGGGTGCTTTTTTAAAAACTCAGGTTTTTAAATTCTTGTACAGTTAACAAATTACTTTTATAAAAGCAAATTTGAACCATCTTTTTTAAAAGATTGATGTTATAAAAGAAACTTTAATGATCTTTCAAGTGTGCCTTAAAATGAGTAGACTATGAAAGATTCTGAAGTATTCTAATAATAAAATGCTACCATTGTGTGAATATAATAGACATGTAGGTTTTTGAATTTTTTATTTTAGATATTGTAAAATTTTGATGAGTTTAAAAAGTTAAAACTTTTTTTACTAACTTTTTAATATCACAAATTTAAATTACTTAACACTTTTGGCATCTGTTATGTCTGGTCAGTTTAAGCAATGTACTTTTTTTAGGGTGAAGACAATACTTAGGAAGGAGCTTGATGGGCCTCTCAATTATAACAGCGATACTAGGCAATAATTATTTTTTTTAGTTCAGTAAACATTTATTAAATATCTGTAGTATTAGTAATAGGAGTAATAGTTTTTGAGCACCTACTAAATGCCAGGTTCTGTTTTAAACACTGCCTGTATTAGCTCATTTAATCCTTATGACAATTCTAATTTTGTAGATATCACTAATACTACTAGTAATACTAAGCTGTTGAGGTTTGAACTCTAGCTTGTATAGCAGTTGTTTAGTTGCCATCTCCACTTACATTTCAATAGACAACTCATACTGAGCTCCTGACTATTTCCGTTTAGACATTCTTTTTCACCCACAGCCTTCTCCAGCTCACTTCTTGGCAGTTCCAAACTTCCTGTTGCTCAGGTCCAAAATTTTAGGGTCACCCTCAGCTCCTCTCATTTTTTCATACCCACATTCAAATTTTCAGCAAATCTGATAGGCTCAGTCTTCAAAACATATTTAAAATTCCAGTACTTCTCAACACCTTCATGGCTACCACCTTGGTCCTAATCACCACCATTTAGCACTAGGATAATCACAGTAGCTTTCTGGCTTTCACTGTTGCCTCCCTCAAGGCTGTTCTTCACTCAGGAGCCAGCATGAGCCTTTAAAAACATTAGATCTCTTTCCTTCCTCTGTCAGAACCCTCAGATTGCCCCTATGTCACTAGAGAAAAGTTCCAGATCTGTGATCTACAATGCCCTCCACCTAACCCCCAAACCTGGTCTCTTCCTGATCTTTTCTCCTCGCTCTGCATCAGTCACATCTGTCTCCTGGTTTTTCTCAAACATGCTATTAACCAACCATAAGACCTTGTTTTCACTTGCTGTTCCTTCTGCTTGAGGTGCTCTTAGAGATGTCAACGTTACTCACTCCCTCAGGTTGTCCTCAGTTCCTTGGGATCTTTACAAATGTCACCTTCTCAGGCCTCATCTGGACGCACACACGCACATGCACACTCATACACGCACCCTTCCCTACCTTATTTTCTCCTTAGCCTTGTCACTCTAAGATACTTTATGTATTTATTGAATGTGAAAGCAGGTGTTTTTGTCTTGTGTTCACTGCTATGTCCCCAGAGCTGAGACGGTGCCTGGCACCTAGTCAATGCTTAATATTTGTTGAATGAATGATATGTGACCTTCTGCTTTTCGGATGGGTGGGTACTCTTCACCCCTATCATATTTCCTGTCCACGATCAGGGTACTGCTTGGTATTTGTATAGAGTTAAAATTATAGTAAACATGCTCTTAATTTTTCCCATTTTTAGGAGAAAGAAATATACCAATTTGTAAGTTAAGTAATATTTTTAAATAGAATAAAAAAATTTTCCTGGTTTTATTTGGATTGGCAGGTGATTCATCCTAAAACTGATCAACAGAGGTGCAGACTTCAGGAAGCTTGCAAAGATATTCTTCTTTTCAAAAATCTTGATCAGGTAACATTGATTTTTAAAATATTTTTGGCTTTTAGCTTTTGTCCTATTCATCATTTAAACAGTTTTTAGCATCTTAGCCACAGTCATATGAGGCATTAAAACCTTAGCTTCTTCTTACTTGCAAATGTTTGCATTGTGTTGAGCACTGTAATCCATAATGAGCTTTTCAGATGACTTTTAGTATTTCTCTGAACTGCTTTGGTACTTCCTCCAAGGCAATACCATTTGAGGACCATGCAGTTGGGTCATATTAAAAGGAAATGCTCAGGTTTGCATGACCCTGGCTTAGTTTGGAGGGTCTTTATTTATGCTGAAGAGTAATTTCTCCAAAGATGCCAGTGTGGCGTCCTCTCTACCGGTAGCGGTTAACCCACTGGAAGTGTGTGACTGCTTCTCACTCCTTTGGTGTAAGGCACCTCTTATTATTTCTCAGTGAAGACCTCAGGCATGGGGCACACACAGAGTGGTGTTTGTCTTTAGGGCCCCAGCACAGGATCTGTGCCTGTGCCTGTCTTCCCTCTCTTGGTGGAGATGGAAAACAGGGCTACCTCCTGAGGACAGAGATGCTTCAGATTTCCTGTTCCTTCTGTACTTTGACGGCCACATGCTGAAGCCACATGAATGGCTGAGGTGCTGGGCCTGCTGGGTAATCCCAGAATGTGCAGAGACAGGAAGGATAGGAAATAGAATTCTCCTACTACCCAGCTCCTGCAAATATGTCTTCTGAAGATATCCCCACAGCCTTCTGGGAATCTGGCTGGTCAAACATGAGTTTATGTTGTATCAATCAAGGGAATCAACTATCCCTGGTGTCTGTAAACCAGACTGTTTGGTAGCTGTGTGGTTATAGGAATAGCGAGAACTTTAATCAGAATTTTATTAGTCTGAGATTGAATAAAACAAGGACCATGAGTTCAAGGAAAGGCTGGTTGTAAGAAATAATAGTCTGTATCAACTGTTTTCCCTGGAAGACTCATCTGTATCAATGGAAAGCATACTTGCTTCTTTATCTACTGTGAATAAAACCCCTTGTAAATTTTATACTATCATATGTTCTAAAGAAGTTGCTGTGTCAGTCTAGTATTCAGATTTTTCTTAGTGCTGGAGAACATCATTTTACCATTTCAGTCTTGAAAAATGATAACTGAATTTTCAGATTTAATTATATTTTTCTAACATTTTATCATGAAAATATTCAAATACAACAAAGTGGAAAGGATTTTACAGAACATGTATTTATCCACTGCCTTGATTCTAACATTAACATTTTACTGTGCTTGTCACATGATATACTGTCTACCCTCAACCAAGGGGTTGGCAAACTTTTGCTTAAAGAACCAGATACTAAATATTTCTGTCACAACTACTCACCTTCATTATTGTAGCAGGAAAGCAACCATAGACAATGCATAAATGAAAGGGTATGGCTGTGTTCCAATAAAACATTATTTACAAAAACAGTCAACTGTTTGCTGGCCCCTGCATTAACCCATCTTATTTTTGAGGATAATTTCAGAGTAAATTGGAGATCTCAGTATATTTCCCTTAAATACTTTGGCATATGCATATCATGATAGTTCAATATTTGTTTATAGCTTTTTAATGTAAAGTTTGCATATAATGAAATGCATGCATGAGTTTTAAGTGTACTTAGGTTTGACAAATGCATACACTTAGGTAATCCAAACCCCTATCAAGATGTAGAATGTTGCCACCACCCCAAAAAGTTTCCTTATGCCCCTTCATGATCAATTCTTGCTCGCCTCCCCCCAGAGACAACTTCTATTTTGATTTGTTCTACCATAAATTAATTTTGCCTTCTAGAATTTCATATAAGTGGAATCATACAATATATACTCTGTTGTGAGAGATTCTTTTCACTCAGCACAATATTTTTGAGACTCTTTCTTATTCAACATTCCATTTCCTTTTTTCACTTTTTATTTTGAACTAGTTTTAGACTCATAAAAGAAGTTGTAAAAATAGTAGAGTTCCCATATACCCCTCATCCAGCTTCCGCCAATATTAGCATATTACATAACCATAGTACAATTAGGGGAAGGGTAAGCTGTGACAAAGCGAGAGAGTGGCATGGACATATATACACTACCAATCGTAAAATAGATAGCTAGTGGGAGGCAGCCGCATAGCACAGGGAGATCAGCTTGGTGCTTTGTGACCACCTAGAGGGGTGGGATAGGGAGGGTGGGAGGGAGGGAGATGCAAGAGGGAAGAGATAGGAACATATGTATATGTATAACTCATTCACTTTGTTATAAAGCAGAAACTAACACACCATTGTAAAGCAATTATACTCCAATAAAGATGTAAAAAAAAACAAAACAAAACCAGGAAAATGACATTGTTACAATACCATTAGTTAAACTAAAAACCTTGTTCAAATTTCATCAGTTTTCTCACTAATTTTTTTTTCCTAGTTAATAATCCAGTCCAGAAACCCACATTGCACTTAGCTGTTATTTCTCCTTAGTCTCCTCCAATTTGCGATAGTTTTCAGTTCTTTCTAGTATTTCATGATCTTGACACTTTGAAGAGTACTGGTTAATTACATTATAGAATATACCTCAATTTGAGTTTGTCTGATATTTCCTCATGATTGAAATGCGGTTATACATCTTTGGCCAGACTACACAGAAATTCTGTTGTGTCCTTCTCAGAGCATCATATCAAGGGATCCATGATGTCAGTGTGTCATTGTTTTGGTGATGTTCGTTCATTCCCTTTTATTGCTGAGAAGTATTCCATTATATGAAAATACCAGTTTGTTTATCCATTTTTCTGACAATGGATACCTGGTCTATTTCTTGCTTTTAGCTCTTATGAATAATGCTCTGGACATTTTATACAAGTCTTTTTGCGAACTTTTTTTTTCATTTCTCTTCAGTAAAATACGTGAGGGCAAAATTGCTGAGTCATAGGATAGGTATATGTTTGATATTGTAAAAATCTACCAGATGGTTTTCAAAGTGGTTATACCATTTTGCATTCCTTCCAACAATATGTGACATTTCCAATTGTTCTGTATCCTTAACCAACATTTGATATTATCTGTCTTTTCAAATTTTAGCCATTCCAGTGAGTGTATTTGTTTCTATTTTTTAAAAATTTACTTCCCAAACCTTTGTTTTTAAATTTTCAAATTTACAGAAAAGTCAAAGAATAGTACCATGAACATTCTTATATTCTTGACCTAGATTGACCAGTTGTTAACATTTTGCCACATTTACACTGTTTCTTGTGTGTATATGTAGGCACATGTATGAGTATGTATGAACTGCTTTTAAGATTTTCCCTGTAAAGTTTTCTAGGGCTTTTTTGTTTTGTTTTCCAGTCCTGAGTCACACGTTGCTTTTGGTTGTCATGGTATGATTCTAGTCCCCTGTAACCCAGATTGCTTCCCCCATGCCTTATTCTATATCATGACACTGATGTTTCTGAAGAGTCCAGGCCAGAAAAAGAAGAGTTACTCAAAACATGAGGCTGCCAATGGACAGCCCACAGGCCAGATACAGCCAGGTATAGATGTGTATGTTTGGTCTGTATTGTATGTGAAAACTTTAATTTGTTACTTGTATTTAAACGTGAGATTTCTGGCAACACTGAGCTCACATTCCACATTAACGTGGATGACACATGAGTAGCAAGCCTTCCTTTTTAGTATTTGTCAACTTTTACAGTATTCAGCACACCTGGAACTATGGAACTAAAGAGGTGCTTTTTGGTGATAATGTTATTTTAGATAGAACAGTCACACTGACAGAACACTAAATCACATGGAATTATGCAGCAATAAAATTATTTCCTTGTCAGATCTTCAATCCACATTCCTCCAAAGACAAAGTCTTTCTCTGAGTTGAAACTGGTATTTAGTGCTCCGTAACAGTCACTGATTTCCCTGACAGAGGGATGCCGGCCCTAGACTGAGATCACTGTTTTGTTAGAATTTAATAGCATTGTTTTGTTTTCATTATACTTACTGGTACAGTTAGTTACCTTCTGGTTATGGCAGGTAATATTGGTAAGTAACTAATTGTATATGTTGTGTATAAATGATTGTAGCAGTATTACATGTCTGGTAATAGATCTCGTTTATTGAGTACCTGTTATGTGACATATACTTTCCTTAGATTTTTCTCCTTTAGTCATAAAAGTTGATGAGCTAGAAACTATTTATTAAACCCTTTTTTGCATATGAAGAAACTGAGTCTCAGAGAGGTAAAGTGATGTGCTTGGCTAGTCAGAGTAGTAGTTGTGCTGTTCCATGAGATAACCTGTGAGGCCATCTCAGCCTTTTAGCCTTGATAATCCTGTTAATATCAACACCTGGAGGAAGGTGGCATCACATGGCTTTATACCTGACATAGTAGAGCCATCAAGGCAGGTGACAGTCTTGTGGGTGCGGCTGGGAGAATAGGCACCATGATTTAGATACCTGTTTTTGCGTAAATTATAGAATGTATTTTCAAAACAATGCTGCCTCAGAAAACTTGGCAACTGTGCTGTATATGTGGAGATGCAAAGCTGAATGGCCACAGGAAAGCATTTGTTTCAGACAGCCCTTAGGTTTCTGCTTGAACGTGGGGAATAGTCTGATGTGGGGACTTCTACCATCTACCATGTAGTCACCAACTAAGATAAGCAGAGTTTTTTTTCCCCCCCCAAGTGTAGAAGCCATCTTTTCTCGTTGTGTATTCCCTGCAGGAACAGCTTTCTCAAGTCCTCGATGCCATGTTTGAAAGGACAGTCAAAGTTGATGAGCACGTCATTGACCAAGGAGATGATGGGGACAACTTTTATGTCATTGAACGGTAGGAGATGGAGTTTTGCAGTTGCACGGCTGTACTTAATAAGATCCATAATTCAGGGCAAGTGCTTTACCCTATGCTTTGTTCAGCCCAAACAGGACTTAGGGCCACGTAAACAAGCTTCTCAAAGCTTGCCCCTCTCTGTCCACAGCCTGCCTTTCTCTATCTACTGCTGCCCTGAGTCCTCAGTACAACCCATACTTGGGTTGCCACTATCTACAATTAGGTGAAATGTGCAAGCTATGCTTTATAAACATGTTATTTGCAAGTGTTCAAGTGAATTGATTTTGTAAAGAATAACCGTAACACTTTATTGTCATCTGGATCATTCAATCCTAGCCTAATTTTACACATGAGTATACTGCCTCAACCTCCATACCTCTGGCCCCTTCTGGCTCTGTTCCAGGTATAAATCATGTTGGGAGACATGAAATATTTGGGTTTGACCTGTTCGCCCTGGTGTGTCCTAACCTCTTGAGCTATTAGTATCACCTGGAGGACTCCTTCTGACCCCTCCTCAGTCCTGAAAGGAACACCCTCACCAGAGTTTAAGATCAATAAGATGTTGCTTCACCCAATGTCTTCCATTAATTATTTTTCATTTTTTCTTTTGAAATAATTTCAGAGTTATAGAAACGTTACACAAATAGTACAAAAAATTCTTATAAACCTGGGTTCCCCAGATTTATGTTTTACCACATTAACTTTATTGTTTGAAAGTAAGTTGCAGGTATAAGCCCTTTTACCTCTGAATACTTCAGTGTATATTTCCTAAAAATAGAATAGTCTCTTACATAAGCAGAGATCAATTGTAAAAATTAGATATTAACATTTTATACAGTACTCTCATCTACTCTGCATACCTTATTCATTTTTTTCCAATTGCTTTCCTGATTTTTAAGATTTTTAAGGGTCTTTTCATTTTGATCAAGTAGCTATACTAGATTCAGCTGGTCCCCTGTCTCGTCGAGCCTTTTGCTCGTTCAGGAAAGTGTTCAAGAATGTACTACTTGGACTTCCCTGGTGGCGCAGTGGTTAAGAATCCGCCCGCAAATGCAGGGGACACAGGTTCGAGCCCTGGTCCAGGAAGATCCCACATGCCGCGGAGCACCTAAGCCCGACTTAGCACCACAACTACTGAGCCTGCGCTGTAGAGCCCGCGAGCCACAACTACTGAGCCCACGCACCACAACTACTGAAGCCTGCGCGCCTAGAGCCTGCGCTCTGCAACAACAGAAGCCACCGCAATGAGAAGCCTGCGCACCTCAACGAAGAGTAGCTCCTGCTCGCCGCAACTAGAGAAAGCCCGCGTGCAGCAAAGAAGACCCAATGCAGCCAAAAATAAATAAGTAATTAATTAATTAAAAAAAAAATAAACGTTAAAAAAAAAAGAACGTACTCCTTGGGTAACCTTTTGGCCCTTGATACTTTGACAGATGATTACAGTTAGGGTTAGGAAAGAAATGTTTTATTTAAAGAGTAAAGATGATACAAATAATGTCTTCTTAAAGACTGTTTTATCTATTATGCTCATGCTTCCTTCATAGAATTCTGTAAGTAGTGACAGAATAATTTTTTTAAGTTATATCACCACTTCCAACAGCCACCTTTCCCCCTTGCTCTGCCGTGTGCTCCCTCACCAAGACAGGAATCCCAGTAGGTACCTGCAGTCTGGGAAATAAGCATTTACCTGCACATATCCATAGCTTATAGGTTGAAATGCCTGTCTACAAAGGGAATGATTTGTTATTACACATGTAAATGAGAGGTATTATCTTTTGCATGCACTGAAAGTGGTTGTTAATTAATTATTAAAAAGATATTGTTCCTGACCTCAAAAAACTCATTTTCTAGTTGGAGAGACTAGAAATAGATAACTATTACATAATTAAATAGATAATTATTACATAATTTGATGATAACAACAGTGAGAAAAATATGTCCCATTATTTGGAAGAGGACCGAAGTGAGAGAGGTTAGGAAAGACTCTGTTTTGTGGCTTCCTGAAATTATTTGTGTTCCCAAAATTAAGTTGCTAGCGTCTCCTGGAAGAGAGACTAAAAACACGTAAGTGAATTTACCCTGAGTTCCATTTAGTCCACTCATGTCCTTGTTACTTTTGCCTTGTCCACCAGGTCAAACACAGTTCAGCTTACCTATTCAGTGGTGAGCTCCCTTGAGAGCAGGGTTGGTACTGTGTACCTGATATTTGAGTGATTGGCTTTATTCTTTGCTTCTTGTGTAACATATGATACCTAATGATTTTTATCAGACAAGTGGAGGCTCTTTGTAGGAAACTTAGGGGAAAAAAAAAAAAAAACAACCAGGAAAGAAAGAAATTTAGCCCTAATTTCATCCCCAGAGTATATTCTTCCTTTCTTTTTTCTTTTTTTTTTTTTTCCTATGCTTTACTGTTAGGTCAGATCCATTACCCCAAATTTGGTTCAGATATTGAGACTGATCATACCACACACACAGCTAAGAGTGTATGAAAAGATTTATCACTCACATAATGAGGCTTTTAAGGGAGAACAGGCCAGGTTCCCAAGAGGTCCAAAAATGACTTAAGACAGCAGGGAGGGGTGACTGGCTTGGCGTTTCACGGTGGTTAGAGGGTGGGGCTGAGGTCAGAGTACTCTTATATATGAGCAGGCTCTAGTTTTGTTTGAATATCCCATCAGTGCCAAATAAGGGAGCACCCAGGTTTTCTTCTCAGCTTTCCCAGATGTGAGACAGAAGAGGAAGAAGGATTGGGAGTGGTAGGGCTTGAAAGCTGTTAACAAACATGTAAAATGTAGTCAACTCTTTATTACATTTATATGTATACTTTTTATGTTAGGTCATATACATTGACTTGATTTTTAAAATCTATTTGAAGTAGTTTGCCATGGGATACAATATTATTCTATGTCATGATTTATATTGACTGCATAATATGAATATAGACATATATTTGACCTGTCCCCTATTGTTAGCAGATTAAATTGTGGTTTTTGGTTTTTGTTCTTATAAATATTACCTGGTGAGCATCCCTGCAATTAAATATTTTCCAATATCTTTGATTATCTCCTTCAGAGTGCCTAGAAATGGAATTGCTGTGTCAAAGGGTCTCTTTAGGAATTTGTTATGTTGTTAATTATCTTTCAGAAACTTTAAAACATTTACACTTGCTTCAGTGGTGTATTGAGAGTGACTGTTTCTCCAAATGTTTGTCCATTCTGAATATTTTTCTTTAGTAGTCATTAACAATCAATAGATAGAGAATTGTATCATTTTTTTCTTTATTTTAATCAGTTCTACATCCTAGTTTTCAACAGACTACAAAAGAAAACCCATACAATCATTTCGATACCTGCAGGAAAAGCATTTGACAAAATTCAACACCTTTCCATGATAAAAACTCTCAGCAAACTAGGAATAGAAGGGACTTTTCTCCAACCTGATTAAAGGCATTTATAAAAAAAAAAACCTATAGCTAACCTTATACTTAACGGTGAAAGATTGAATGTTTTCCCTTTAAGATGGAGAACCAGACAAGCAAAGCATGTCTCCTCTCACCACTTCAGTGCAGTATTATACTGTAGGTCCTAACCAACGCAATAAAGCAAAGAAAAAAGAAGGAAAAGAAAAAGATGGAGTGAGGGGAGAAGGACTGACGGGAGGGAAGAAGGGCATACAGATTGGAAAGGAAGAAATAAAGCTGCTTTGTCTTTGTTTGCAGATGACATGATCCTCTAGAAAATGCCAAGTTCACTCATTAAAATTAATAAATGAGTTTAGCAAGGTCACAGAATACAAAGTCAAAATGCAAAAATCTATTATATTTCTATATACTAGCAAAAATCTGTTGGAATTCCCCAATAACAACAACCTTCTATTCATGTACACCTGCCCATTATAAGTAAAATTGTTTCTTGTTATATTTCCAGGGGAACCTATGATATTTTAGTAACAAAAGATAATCAAACCCGCTGTGTTGGTCAGTATGACAACCATGGCAGTTTTGGAGAACTAGCTCTGATGTACAACACCCCGAGAGCTGCTACCATTGTCGCCACTTCAGAAGGCTCCCTTTGGGGACTGGTGAGTTAGAGAAATGGTTCTCCTTGCATAGCATGGTATTAATGCCCCTTACTTCTGAGTCTCTGTCCTTGGGCTGTTGGTTCACACTATATTTAATAGCCAATTATCTGAAAGACATTGTGGAAGGTTTTGTACCAGTGTGTTTTTCCATTTCTCTGAAGTGATTTATCAACAAACCATTTATTCCAAATTACATAGAAAAGACTGGGTCTTGTGACCTTGCTGTGTGTCAGCTCTTACTACATTTTCCATTTATGTTTTTATCAGACAAGTAGAGAGAGGGGGGATAACTCTGTACAAGAGACAGCCTAGAAAAATAAGTGTCATTGAAAGCTCTGCCAACCATGTTTTCCATCTCTATCTATCCTAGGACTAACTTTCCTCTGTGTTTGGCCATCTATTTATTCATTGGTCCATGCCAATATTCAATAGATTTAGATGACTAGAAAGGCTGATAGCCATATTCTGGGAAACAGAACTTTCCTAGAATGTCTTAGGCACAGTACTGCTATGATCCTATCCTCTATTATACATGGCCCACCTTGCTTCCTTCATTATCAAGCCTTCAAAATATATAATTCTCTTCCTTCTTAAACAAAACAATCATCCTCTTGTACAGATTCCAAATTTCACTTTTAAAATGTTCACATCTATGATAATTTGTTTCCATTTACCCTACAAGCAAAATTAAATATATACCTTGGAATTATCAATATATTTCCTCAAATAAAATCACATTTTAAAGACATACTAGAGCACTTTATTGTGCTATACTAATGTAGAATTAAGAATGCCCCTGAGGCAGGACAGGAATAAAGACGAAGACTTAGAGAATGGACTTGAGGATACCGGGAGGGGGAAGGGTAAGCTGGGACGAAGTGAGAGAATGGCATGGACTTATATATACTACTAAATGTAAAATAGATAGCTAGTGGGAAGCAGCTGCATAGCACAGGGAGATCAGCTCAGTGCTTTGTGACCACCTAGAGGGGTGGAATACGGAGGGTGGGAGCGAGACGCAAGAGGGAGGAGATATGGGGATATATGTATATGTACAGCTGATTCACTTTGTTATAAAGCAGAAACTAACATACCTTATTTATTTTTTTTTTTTGCGGTACGCGGGCCTCTCACTGTTGTGGCCTCTCCCGTTGCGGAGCACAGGCTTCGGACACACAGGCTCAGCGGCCATGGCGGACCGGGGCACGAACCCGTGTCCCCTGCATCGGCAGGCAGACTCTCAACCACTGCGCCACCAGGGAAGCCCCTAACACACCATTTTAAAGCAATTATACTCCAATAAAGATGTTAAAAAAAAAAAAAGAATGCCCGTGAGAGAGACTTCCCTGGCGGCCCAGTGGTTAAGACTCCTCACTTCTAGAACAGGAGACTTAGGTTCAGTCCCTGATCGGGGAACTAGGATCCCACATGTGGTGCGGCCCACAAAAAAAAAAAAAAAAAAAAAAGATTGCCCCTGAGAGATGAGAGATACATTGGTTTAAGAATACATCACACACTTGGGAAGCTTAAAATACTCAAGGTAGATCAATAAATAATGGGGGAAAATAAAATCAGTTTTAAAATACATTAATGCCAACTTCTGGTCCAGGCCAAGATGGAATAGCCCCATTCCTCACTAATCTTCCCTCTTAAAACTAGAAAACTCTGGATATCTTACTACAAACAAACATAGGAGACCCTGAAAGATGGAAAGGAGAAGGTGGACTGGCTAGGAACTAGGGATTTCAGGAATTAAGGAAGGACATAACAGTGAGTTCGCCAGGTTTTCTTATTAATTCCCATATATCCCAGATAGGGTGCTGGAAAAACCTACAACCCAGATCCACCAACAGGTACACATAAAAACAGCCCCAAGAAAAGTCTGCTCCCTTTAGCCAAAGGACAAGGAAAAGCACAGCTTGGCAGAATAGAAAACCTTTTATGATAATGCCACCCTATTCCTGCCAAATACCAAAGGAAAAACTGCTTCTACCTCCCCACACTGTCACTGGGGCCAGCAGGAAACTGGACTTAACAACCTCATCCAGCAGCAAAGAGGCAAAATGAGGTGATGTGTGGTGTTACTAGTTGGCACTCCACTTCCCCTGCCAGAGTAGTGTCAGTAGAGTCCAGAGGGGAGCTGAACATGCACTCCCACACGTACAGGCACCCTATATATAGAGAGAGGGTGACTGCCTGCAAAAAAAGAAAAAATTGGATACAGTTTTACAACATAATACCCAAAATGCCCAGGATACAATAGAAAATCACTTGTTAGACCAAGAACAAAGAAATTCTCAATCTGAATTAGAAAAGGCAATCGAAAGATGTCAATACCGGGCTTCCCTGGTGGCGCAGTGGTTGAGAGTCTGCCTGCCGATGCAGGGGACACGGGTTCGTGCCCCGGTCCGGGATGATCCCACATGCCGCGGAGCGGCTGGGCCCGTGAGCCATGGCCGCTGAGACTGCGTGTCCAGAGCCTGTGCTCCGCAACGGGAGAGGCCACAACAGTGAGAGGCCTGCATACCGCAAAAAAAAAAAAAAAAAAAAAAAGATGTCAATACCAAGATGATACAGATACTGGAATTAGCTGACAATGATTTTAAAGCAGCCATCATAAAAATCCTTCAACAAGCAATTATGAACACACTAGAAACAAAGGGGAAAAAATAGGAGGTCTCAGTGGAGAAATAGAAGACAGAAAGAAGATCCAAATGGAAATTTTAGAACTGGAAAATACAATAACCAAAATAAAAACTCACTGGATGGGCTCAATAGCAGAATGAATGTAAGGGAGGAAAGAATCAGTGAACTTGAAGATAGAACAATAGAAATCACCCAGTCTGAACAACAGAAAGAAAATAGACTGAAATGAACAGAGCCTGTGGACTAAAAAGAAAAGGTACAGTATTTGTGTCATCAGAGTCCCAGAAGGAGAGGAGAAAGAATATAGAGCTAAAAAATTATTCAAGGAAATAATAGTTGGAGAATTCCCAAATTTGGTGAAAGATAATAAACCTACAGATTCAAGAAGCTGAGTGAACTTTAAATTAGATAAACCCAAAGAAATCTATGCCAAAACACATCAGAATCAAACTTTAGAAAACTAAAGACAGGAATAAATTTGAAAGCAACTAGAGAGAAACAATGCTTTACGTACAGAGGAAAAACAATTTGAATGACACCAGATTTCCTATCCATGAAGGCCAGAAGGAAGTAGCACAGCATTTTTCAATTGCTGAAAGAAAAGAACTGTCAACTCAGAATTCTATACCTAGTGAGAATATCCTTCAGGAATGAAGATATTCTCAGATAAAACAAAACTGAGACTTTGTCACCTGCAGAAGTGATAAAAGAAAGAAATTTGGGGCTTCCCTGGTGGCACAGTGGTTGAGAGTCCGCCTGCCGATGCAGGGACGCGGGTTCGTGCCCCAGTCCGGGAAGATCCCACATGCCGTGGAGCGACTGGGCCCGTGAGCCATGGCCACTGAGCCTGTGCATCCGGAGCCTGTGCTCCGCAACAGGAGAGGCCACAACAGTGAGAGGCCCGCGTACCACAAAAAAAAAAAAAAAAGAAAGAAAGAAATTTGGAACATCAAGAATGGAGAAAGAATAACAGTAAACATATGGATAGACATAAAAGTCTATCCTCCTCTTGAGTTTTCTAAAATAGGTTAGATGCTTGAAGCAAAATTATAACATTGTCTTACGTGGTTCTTAATGTATATAGAGGAAATATTTAAGACAATTACATTCTAAAGGGGAAGGAAAGGGGCCTAAATGGAAGTTAAACTTCTACACTTTACTCAAACTACTAAAATGTTGATACCAGTAGACCATGATAAGTTACATATATAAATATAATACATAGAGCAACCACTAAAGTAATCTGTACAAAGAGATACACTCAAAAACTCTATAAATCCATTCAGGTAACCTGCAGGAAGGCAAGAAAAGTGAAACAGAAGAACAGGAAACAGGGAAGAACAGAAAACATTGAATTAAATGGTAGACGTAAGCCCTAGTATATGAATAATTACTATAAATATAGATGATCTAAATATACCAACTGAACTTATTTACAAAGCAGAAGTACAGTCATGAATGTAGAAAACAAACTTATGATTACCAGGGGATAAGCAGGGGGAGGGATAAATTGGGAGATTGAGACTGATGTATACACATTATGGGGAAAGAATCTCAAAAAAAGAGTGTTTATATGTATAACTGATTCACTTTGCTATACACCTGAAACTAACACAACATTGTAAATCAACTATACTCCAGTAAAAAAAAATTTTAAAGCTATTATGCCAAGTTAATTCAATCTAACTAATTAGAGAGCAGGAAGTTCTTTCAATTATTGTATGTGCTGTCTGAGAAACACACTTGAATATAGCTACAGATTTCATTAATTACAGTTCATTATTTTCCAGATTAGTTACTAAACTCGCATCAGAAGGTCAAAGACAGCAATTTTGTCAGCTGCCACTTCTCTCAGTGCTGTATCTTTTGCATTTCTGGAACTCAGACAGAAATTGATTACAAACAAAAACAAATCTCCATAAAAATGAGAAACATAAGTCTTTATGAATATGTTCAAGCCAAATGATTTTGTAAAGTATAAGAATCTTTGTTTTTAAAGACTTCCTTATAATCTTTATTTTCGGACTTCCCTGGTGACGCAGTGGTTAAGAATCTGCCTGCCAATGCAGGGGACCTAGGTTCAATCCCTGGTCCGGGAAGATCCCACATGCCACAGAGCAACTAAGCCCGTGCGCCACAACTACTGAGCCTGTGCTCTAGAGCCTGCGAGCCACAACTACTGAAGCCCGCATGCCCTAGAGCCTGCGTACTGCAGCTACTGAGCCCATGTGCCACAACTACTGAAGCCTGTGTGCTGTAGGGCCCATGTGCTGCAACTACTGAAGCCCGCGCACCTAGAGCCCATGCTACACAAGAGAAGCCACTGCGATGAGAAGCCCGCGCACCGCAACGAAGAGTAGTCCCCACTCACTGCAACTAGAGAAGGCCCGCGCACAGCAACTAAGACCCGATGCAGCCAAAAATAAATAATAATTTTTTAAAAAAGAAAGTAAAAGTATAGTAATATATATACTATGCAAACATTAACCAGAAGAAAGCAGAACTTAATATCAGATAAGTAGACTTCACAGCAAAGAAAATTACCAGAGACAAAGAGGAACATTACATAATAATGAAAGAGTTAATCTACCAAGAAGACACAGAAACCCTAAATATGTATATACCAAACAACAGAGCTTCAAAATATGTAAAGCAAAAACTGATAGAACTGAAAGAAGAAATAGACAAACCCACAGTTATATTTGCAGACTTCAACACCCCTTTCTCAACAATTGATAGGACAACTAGACAAAAAATTGGGAAGGATACAGTACTTAACATCACCATCGACCAAAAGGATCAAATTGAAATTTATAGGACACTTCACACAACAACAGAGAATACACATTCTTTTCAAGCCCACAAATGTTCACCGAGATAGACTACATGTATCCTGGGATATAAAATAAAACTTAACAAGTTTAAAAGAATTGAAATCAGACGGTGTGTTCTCTAACCATAATGGAATGAAACCAGAAATCAGTAAGAGAAAGATAACAGGAAAATCTCCAAACACTTGGAAATCAACCCATTCCTAAATCTAAAAGTCAAAGAGAAAGTCTCAATAGAAATTTATTAAAAATGAACTGTAAAACTGCTTGCCTTGGACTTCCCTGGTGGTGCAGTGGTTAAGAATCCGCCTGCAAATGCAGGGGACACGGGTTCAAGCCCTAGTCTGGGAAAATCCCACATGCCATGGGGCAACTAAGCCCGTGAGTCACAACTACTGAGCCTGTGCTCTAGAGCCCGCAAACCACAACTACTGAGCCCACGTGCCACAACTGCTGAGCCCATGTGCCACAACTACTGAAGCCCATGCACCTAGAGCCTGTGCTCCACAAGAGAAGCCACTGCAATGAGAAGCCCGTGCACCGTAACAAAGAGTAGCCCCTGCTCGCCACAACTAGAGAAAGCCTGCACACAGCAACAAAGACCCAATGCAGCAAAAAATAATAATAATTAATTAATTTAAAAAAACAACTGCTTGCCTTGTGGTTTGGATATGAGAATTAAGTAGAAGCACATCCGAGAAGCAGTTTCCTCGGTGCCTGGCACAAGGTAGGGTACTACAGAGTGGTGGCACCTGCTTCCCTTGGTTGTGGTGCTGCTCACCACCCTTCCATTTCTGAAACTCCCTCTCCTGAGATCCCTGCCCTGCCTTCCTAGTTCCTAGCCTTATCCTTTGCAGTCTTTTCTTCCTCTCCCTGCTATCTTAAGTGAGATTCATCTCGCTGCTGCCTTACGTGACCTATTTAGATGCCCTTTTCTCCTGCGTTATTCACCCGCTTTATAGCCCAAACCCTTCCAAAGCTTCAGTACCACCTTCAGGAAAGTGACTCCCAGAGGGTCCTCTATAGCCTGACTTCTTACTTGTGCCTTCCAAGGCCTTTGGAAATGCCTTCTGAGGCTAAATCAGGGAGGACCTGGTGTTGCCACTGAGTTTCTCAAATTGGATTCTATATTCCTTCTCTTACTGGGGGCAGCTGCCACCATGACCACTACACTTAGTCTCTGCTCCCACTCTGTCTTGCTTGCATGAAAGTGAGTAGAAACTCTTTTTTCTTTTAATATTTATTTAGCTGTACCAGGTCTTAGTTGCAGCACGTGGGATCTACATTGTGGCATGTGGGATCTAGTTCCTTGACCAGGGATCGAACCCAGATCCCCTGCGGAGCACGGAGTCTTTTTTTTTTTTTTAATAATTTTATTTATTTATTTTTGGCTACATTGGGTCTTCATTGCTGCACCCAGGCTTCCTCTAGTTGTGGCAAGCAGGTGCCACTCTGTTGTGGTGCATGAGCTTCTCATTGCAGTGGCTTCTCTTGTTGTGGAGCACAGGCTCTAGGTGCGTGGGCTTCAGTAGTTGTGGCGTGCGGGCTCAGTAGTTGTGGCTTGCGGGCTCCAGAGCACAGGCTCAGTTGTGGCGCACGGGCTTAGTTGCTCCGCAGCATGTGGGATTTTCCCAGACCAGGGCTCGAACCTGTGTCCCCTGCCTTGGCAGGCAGATTCTTTTTTTTTTTTTTTTTTTTTTTTTTGCGGTACGCGGGTCTCTCACTGCCATGACCTCTCCTGTTGTGGAGCACAGGCTCCAGACGCGCAGGCTCAGGGGCCATGGCTCACTGGCCCAGCTGCTCCGCGGCATGTGGGATCTTCCCAGACCGGAGCACGAACCCGTGTCCCCTGCATCAGCAGGCGGACTCTCAAGCACCGCGCCACCAGGGAAGCCCGGCAGGCGGATTCTTAACCACTGTGCCACCAGGGAAGTCCCAGTAGAAACTTTCTGCAGTCAAAGGAAAGGGTAGTATTCTTCTCTTTTGAACTTCAGGGCTACTTGCTTGACTCTGAACACTCGGGTGCCTGAGGGAGCTACCATTTCACAGTAGGAGTTTCCTCTTCACAGCTCCATTGGAAGCTCCCTGAAAGCTGGGTTGGTGTCTGGTGCTTTTTTATATCCTCCGCAGTCATAGGAACTGGACTTGCACAGCCTGAGAGCTCTGGGAAGTGCAAAAGCATGCGTAGAAAGGGTTGGAACACAAATAGAGATATCAGTTGTTTTCTCTTTAGCTAGAAATACAGTTTATTGCTGCAATTTTAGTAATCTTTGTAACGTTATAGATGGATTTAGAAATACTGTTTTTTGACAATGTCTGCTCAAACATAAGGAAAGAAATTTTATAACTCCCATTGTCTCAGTCTTGATTGTTCTCTTTCCACAGCACTCTTGGCCTAGATTGGTGCAGGAAACATGTAGAAACTGAAGTCTAAAGATAATGGAGTAATATTCCAAAGTATAACAGTAACATTTTAAATGATACATCTCTAACCTTGGACTTCAAAAAAGTAGTGGCAAGTGATGCAGCTGATTAGAGCAATCAGAGATTGAATGGCTCTTTTCAAGCAGACAGATGGAAAAGAAAATGGGGGCAGAATCTGGCTTAGTACCAGAGAACAGACATTATTTGTACTTCAGTTTAGGAAGGGAGGGTAGGAGTCTGCCACCTTTTATACTACGAGTATAGGGTGCAGTAGGTGACTTCTCCTGTCAGGCAGATGAAGCATGGCATGGGATAGGACCAGGGAGTTCTGTGGCTGATGAATATGAGCCAGTGAAACCTATTTAGACATCTCAACTCAGTTGTCTTCTATGTGTTTTCTCCACCCAACTCCCACCCCATCATCAAGAATACTAAAATAGCAAACCTACAGCTAAACATGCCCTTAGCCCCTTGCTGTTTTTCATTCTTTCAGCCTTTAGGATGTCATTACTGTACTTTAAAAAAAAAAGAAAAAAAAAATCTTTCTATTCTTGAGAGCCCAAGGTAGAAGAAAGTTAAAATTAACTTAGGTACAAAAAACTGCCTACTCACGTAGGAGCCTAAGCAATTAACATTCTCCTGGCTGCATGTCCCTCCCCACACACGCATACACATATCTGAGAAGTACCTGACCATAGCTCTGGTTAACTGTCTCTTGAGTATGAATCCGTGACTTGCTGGGGTCAAGATATCTTTCGCATGCCTGCCTTCCATTTTGAGTTTCCTACTTTATCTCTCCATTAATTTAAAACCTACCTCTCTTTCAGGTCCCAGACAAATTTATATTTTTGCAACAAAATTATCCTTGATCACTCCAGGCTATCGTGATCTCTCTCCGCAGAATTCTTGTGGCACTTACTTTGTCTCTGTAGTTCATCTAGCACATTTCATATGCTGTCTTGGACTGTAGTTTTTTATTCCTATAAATTTTGTATTGTCTCCCCATTGAGATTATAAAGTCCTTGAGGGCAAGAACCATCTGATTGTTTTATCTCCCTTTTTTGAAGGTGCATCTTTTCACATTAAACAGTGACTGTGAGCTCACAAATGTTTGATTGGGACGTTTTAAATTTTGTATTCTATTTATGACTGACCCATAGGTGGCACCCATTGAGTACTTGATAGCAGGTGACAACATGTGAGACATCTGTCTGGCTCAGGCTACAGATCTTTTTCTCATAGCAATGACTCAGATTGAAATATCATTAAACACTCAGTTGACCCAGTACCTTCCAGAGACCTCTAATGTTTGCTGTGGCATAGTTAATTAAACCATAGATGCTCCCTTATACAGGCATTTACCAGAATTTTCATATCCTTTCTTATAGGACCGTGTGACGTTTAGAAGAATCATAGTGAAAAATAATGCAAAAAAGAGGAAGATGTTTGAATCATTTATTGAATCTGTGGTGCTTCTTAAATCACTAGAGGTAAAGCCTATTTTAATAAGAGTCTGTTTATGGGGATTTAAGCAAAGCTGTTAAAACGATTCTCGTTAGATTTCTTAAATCATACTATTCTAGCCCATTTCAATGTTGTATAGATACTATTTGTGACTTTCAATTAAGACGTTTCCTTATAATTTGTATGTTCATTGTTTCAGGTGTCAGAACGAATGAAGATTGTGGATGCAATAGGAGAAAAGGTCTATAAGGATGGAGAGCGCATAATCACTCAGGTGAGTGGGGGCCTTGTGCAGCACCTTTCCCGGAAGCCACCTCCTGAAGGACTAGTGCATCGTTTGTCCTGTCACTTTGGGGAGCTCATGTTGCACGATACGCAGGCACACTTCCTGCAGAGTGTTCTAAAGCCCATTGATGTTCAGCTCACTGACTTATGCACATCTCTTGCCTCCATTCACCTTTCCTTGGCTTCTGGTATTTGTTCTTTTCGATGTCATTTTCTTTTAACCCTGAGTAAGCTTCCTGCATCACTGTTAAAACCTGGAGAAGGTCGAAAGGTTGTGTACCTTCTCTCTATGTTTGGCCCAAAGTCCCTTTTAGCTAATCTAACACAAACCAGTCTTCAGTGACTGACCAGATTTGTAAGGTATCTTTAGTGTTTCCTTTGTACCTTTTTGTCATGTTATTTTTGGGTACTGTAAGGATCATCACACAGTGGACTGGAACATTATGATGAGTGCTCTGTAATAATTTTCCTAGTCTACTATGTTTCCATTTTTAATTATATATAAAGAGTATTATAGACTTTTCCGAGTCTAAAACTTCTCTGCCAGTGGTTCTGGCAAGAGCACTGGGAAGGGGAATTCCCTGGCAGTCCAGTGGTTAGGACTCCGCGCTTCCACTGCAGGGAGCATGGGTTCGATCCCTGGTCGGGGAACTAAGATCCCACAAGCTGCACGGCGCAGCCAAAAAAAATTTTTTTAATTAAAAAAAAAAGAGCCACTGAGAAGATGTCTGGTTGGTCTGGGTTGGGGAATGTGTCCATACCTGAACCCAGAGCTGGGGCTAGAAGGAAGACTCAGATTGGTCAAGCCTAAATCCCCAGACCACCCCTGAGCCCTGGAGGTGGAGTTGGCCCAACCAGTACCACAGAGATTAATCAGGCTTATCATAAAAGGAGAGAGAGATGCTCCAGAGAAAAAGGACTAACAAAAAAATGATGTCTACTCTAAGTGGCATCTCTAAATGCCTTTGTTTTCTAGATAGCCCCACTGTTAATAATTCTTTTAATTAGAAATTGGTTTGATTCGGTAAATATTTACTAAGATAGACAAGTAGGACCAGATATAAGTGCTATAATGAGAGGAAAAAGAATGGCACTGCAGACTTCCCTGGTGGCGCAGTGGTTGAGAATCCACCTGCCAATTCAGGGGACACCAGTTCGAGCCCTGGTCTGGGAATATCCCACATGCCGTGGAGCAGCGAAGCCCATGTGCCACGACTACTGAACCTGTGCTCTAGAGCCCATGAGCCACAACTACTGAGCCCACAAGCCACTACTACTGAAGCCTGTGTGCCTAGAGCCCATGCACCGCAACAAAGAGTAGCCCCAGCTCGCTGCAACTAGAGAAAGCCCGTGTGCGGCAACAAAGACCCAACACAACCATAAGTAAATAAATAAATAATTAAAAGAAAAAAAAGAGTGGCAGTGAGAATATAGAACAGGATGTATTCTATACGGTTTCATGAAGGAAATGCCCTTTGAGCTAAGCTTAAAGAACAAGTGCAGTTCCAGCAGTTGAGGTCAGGGAAGGATCTTTCAGGGCAAGATAACAATGTGAGCAAAGGCCTGTGGGTGTAGGCTTTGTTCCAGGGCAGGTATCCTAGTATGGTAAGAATGTAGAGCTGAGTTGCAGAAACGGGACATGCTGACTGGCCACATTTGCTTCTGAAGCTGTGGTGCTTTAATTTACTCCCAAAGGACCTCTACTTAATTCTGAAAAGCCCTAGACCTTCAGGAGGTATGTCAAGAGGTATGAAAAACCACAGGGTTTTCTGGGATGTCTGTGTTCTTGAAGATAGGAGTGCTAGGTGGTGATGCAGAATGGACACAAATTAAGATGATAACCACCTTATTGTAGACCCCTTTCGGCAGTGTCTCTAGACCAAGGCTTCTCTAAGTGAGGTCCCAGGACTAGCAGCATTAGCATCATATAGGAATGTTAGAAATTCAAGTGCCTGGGCCCCACCCCAGACCTACTGCAGAAACTATGCTTTATGTTGTTTTGTTTGTTTGGTCAACTTTGTTACCCTATATTTTATATACAGTACAATTACCAAGTTTAAGTATACAATTTGAGAGTTTTATAACCATCCCTATAATCATAGTGTACAGCATTTCTGTCATCCCAAAAAGCTCCCTTGTTTGTATTTTAAGTAAATCCCCTCACCCGCTCCCTTGCTCCTGGAAACCACTGACCTGCTTTCTATCGCTCTAAAAATTCCTTTTCTAGAATTTCATATAAATGAAACCATATAATGTGTAGTTTTTTTGTGTCTGACTTGTTTCTCTTAGCATAATGTTTTTGAGATTTATCCATGTTGTTGTAATGTATCAGAGGATCATTCCTTTTTATTGCTGTATTGTATTTCTGTATTGCTGTATTGTATTTCATTATACAGATGTACCATAATTCATCTTTCCACTCACCAGTTGAGAGACACTTGGGGTCTTTCCAGTTTTGGGCAATTATGAATAAAGCTGCAATAAGCATTTGCATACAAGTCTTTGTATAGACATATGTTTTTATGGAATTGCTGAGTCATATGGTAAACATAGGTTTAACAAATTGCCAAAATGTTTTTTAAAATGTCTGTACCATTCTGCATTCCCCCAGCAATGTTCAAGAGTTCCAGTTGCTCTGTATCCTCATCAGCACTTAGTATCGAGTCTTTAATGTTAGCCATCCTAGTATGAAGTGGTATCTCATTTTGGTTTTATTTTGCATTTACCTAATGTCTAATGATGGTGAGCATCTTTTCCTGTGATTCCTTGCCATCCATATGTTTTCTTCGGTGAAGTACATCTTTTGCCCTATTTAAAATTAGGTCATTTGGCTTCTTAATATATTGAGTTGTAAGAATTCTTTATGTACTCTGAGAACAAATCCTTTATCAGGCAAATGATTTGCAAATATTTCTCCCAAAATGTGGCTGTGGCCATGGCTTGTCTCTTCATTTTATTAATAATACCTTTTAAAAAGCAAAAGTTTTTAATTTTGACGAGTCCAGTTTGTCATTTTTTTCTCTTGTAATTCACTCTTTTTGTGCCCTATTAAAAAAAAGTGTTTGCACAGTTAGTAAGATTTTCTCCTATTTTACTTCTAGGCAAGCACTGTTCAATAGAAATATTATGTGAGTCACATACAATTTAAAATATTTTAGTAGCCAAATTAAAAAAAATGAAACAGGTGAACTTAATTTTAATAATATATATTTAGCCTAATATATCTAAAATATTACATTTCAACATCTAAGTGATATAAAAATTTAATAATGAGATATTTTACATTTGGGGGATATTCAGTCTTTAAAATTCAATATGTATTTTACACTTACAGCACCTATAAATCTATACAAGCCATAGTTCAAGTGCCCAGTAGGCCCATGTGACTAGTGGCTACTGTATTGAGCCGTGCAGTTCTAGTTTCATAGTTTTAGATCTTACATTTAGATCTATGATCCATTTTGAATTAATTACGTGGTATAAGGTTAGGGTTTTTCATATGGATGTCCAGTTGTTTCAGCACCATTTGTTGAGGAGATTTTCCTATCCCATTGCCTGACACTTGCATTGAAAACCAATTGGCCATATATGTTTGGGTCCATTTCTGGTCTCTTTTTGTTCCATTGATCAATGTCTGTCTCTCTGTTAATAATACTGCACTGTCTTGATTACAGTAGCCTTACATAGTAAATCTTGAAATCAGATAGTTTAAGCCTTCCAAATTTTTTGTTCTTTTTCTTTTTTTTTTTTAATAAGTTTATTTTAGTTATTTATTTTTGGCTGCATTGAGTCTTCGTTGCTGCGCACCAGCTTTCTCTAGTTGCGGTGAGCGGGGGAGCTACTCTTCATTGTGGTGCGCGGACTGATGCTCTGTGCAGTTACCAGCCGGGGCATATTCATGGAGACAGATGTGAATACTCCATGTTAGGAAGTGAGAAATGTTTGTCAGTCATAGTTAGACTAACATCCCTGGCAATCAGGATCCTCTCGTTTAGTTCTGAATTTGTTAGCCATTTACTGGTTTGTAGGTTTGGAAAATAAATACCAATTCAAGCTCAGGCAATGTGAAAATGATCTATTTCTGTGTCCCTCTTTAATACATATATATGGCTCTGACCTGACCTCCTCTCCCTTTTTAGGGTGAAAAGGCTGATAGTTTTTACATTATAGAGTCCGGCGAAGTGAGCATCTTGATTAAAAGCAAGGTGAGTTTATGTGTGATGGTGTGAGTTATGTCAGGGGAGATCCAGATGCCAGGTATATGCACAGAAAGTAACTGTTTGCTTTAAAAATGTGGAGTGTGTTTAGTGTTTCAAAACCACCATTATGTGAGATATGTGACTGACAATGACCAATGTTTAAGCCTATTCATTGATAAAGATTTAGTGTATTTTTTCTTGTTCCTATTGCCTTTACCTCTGTTACATAATTAATGATATGAGAAATATTGGCCTACAAATCAATAAGAAAAAGGATAAGCACCCTAACAGAAAATGGGGCAATTATATAATAAAAAATACATGTGAGGGGCTTCCCTGGTGGTGCAGTGGTTGAGAGTCCGCCTGCCGATGCAGGGGACATGGGTTCGTGCCCCGGTCCGGGAAGATCCCACATGCCGCGGAGCGGCTGGGCCCGTGAGCCATAGCCGCTGAGCCTGCGCGTCCGGAGCTTGTGCTCCGCAACGGGAGAGGCCACAACAGTGAGAGGCCCAAGTACAGCAAAAAAAAAAAAAATACATGTGAGTGTTGAATATGAAAAAGCTTCCTTTTTAGAGTACTAGGAAGGGAGGTCTCTAGGACAGTTATTATTATGGCCATTTGATGGATAGGGAGACCTAGAAAACACAGTGACCTATAGATGGGAAGAGTGATTCTTACCATAAATCCATCATCATCAGATTTCCTGTTTCAATTTTTTTAAGAATAAAGAACTTGTTAAAATACTGAGTTACATATAATACTAAATCAGCCTAGTGTAAAACCTTTTATGGAGTATTTTTTGTAAAAGTTAAGCATGGAGAAAGACAGAAAAATATGATTACTGCCTACAAGATGGCTTGCTTCCTAATTAAAAATATATTTTTTTACTTATAGTTTTTAGACTACTGGTATATGTTTGTACATTTCTCATATTCATTGACACCTACTGATCACAGCATAGTGTTGGGTTTGTAGGTCTAGCAGCACTGTGGCACTGGGTTGGGAAAGGGGGAGTTTGTCAGAATTTCAGTCTTGGGCTCTGCCCCAGACCTACTGAATCACAATCTGCATTGTATCAAAACCCACAGGGGGCTGGTGTTCACAGTACAGTGTGATACGTGCTACTCTAGAGAAGGGACTAGGTAGACATGAACACGTCTGCAGTCCCAGAGAATACAACAGAAATTGGAAAGAGAGCATTGGCTTGGAAGGGGCAGATCAACTTCAGAGCAGACAGGTCAGGGCAGAAGTGTGAAAGGAGGAAAAGTCAAACCATGTAAGCCAGTGTGGTACTTTTGTTTATTTTTCTAAATTAACCTTCAGGGACTTCCCTGGTGGCGCAGTGGTTAAGAATCCGCTTGCCAGTGCAGGGGACATGGGTTCAATCCCTGGTCCAGGAAGATCCCACATGCCACGGAGCAGCTAAGCCCGTGTGCCACAACTACTGAGCCTGCGTTCTAGAGCCTGCAAACCACAACTACTGGGCCCACACTCTGCAGCTCCTGAAGCCCATGCGCCTAGAGACCGTGGTCTGCAACAAGACAAGCCACTGCAATGAGAAGCCCGCGCACCACAGCAAAGAGTAGCCCCCACTCGCTGCAACTAGAGAAAGCCTGCGCACAGCAACGAAGACCCAACGCAGCCAAAATATAATAATAATAACAAATTAACCTCTAAAAAGTTATTTATCTGCCTGTAACAAAGTCGTTCTTAAAGATTTAGACTAATTCTTATTAATGTTATAAGTATTTTTTTACTTAAATTATTGCTTAGCTTAGCAGATGGATTTGTTTAAAAAATATAAGAAACTCTAGATAGTAAATAAAATATAGTACCTTATTTTCAGTAATTTGAAAAGCACAAAGTATAACCTGCTTGATTTCTTAAACCACCAAATTTCAAGGTTGAACATTACTTTTTAAAATATTTAGTTACTTAACTTTTCTAAACAAATATGGTAGGGGGACCACTAACTTAAGATGCAGGTAGTACCTAAAAATAAAATTTGTCGCCGTAAAGTATTGTCCGAGAAAAGCATGGCCTCAAGTCAAAAAGAAGTAGCCCTGAATTGTGACTGTTTACCTATGAGAAGCATTGACGTTATTTAGGAAGAATTAGCAAAAGGCCTTGTCTTCTACCCTGTGTCTCAGAGTCAGCATCTACCAAATGGATCGCATTCATATATGTATAATATATAAATATAAAATATATAAAAATATACATTGTTATATATTATATAGTATATTAACATAATTTTATATACTATATTAATATATACTATAATAATATTATGCATATATATACACACCTTACCTCTTGGTAAAAGCCAACTCATTTGGTTAAACCAGGCCACTGAGATTAGCCCATGCAGTTTACATGGTACAATTAGAGTCTCTGCAACATGAATTTGTAAGTAATTTGTTAAGTGTACTGAAAAGGGAATGTAAGTGTGTGCAACTGGATGTGCCTAGTTGTGATTCTGGAATCAGTCCTGGTCATGTTCTCCACCTGCTCTAGACTAAAGCAAACAAGGATGGTGGGAACCAAGAGGTCGAGATTGCCCGCTGCCATAAGGGGCAATACTTTGGAGAGCTTGCACTGGTCACCAACAAACCCAGAGCTGCTTCGGCTTATGCAGTGGGAGATGTGAAATGCTTAGGTAAGAAAAATTCTATATGCATTAGTGTTGTTTTTTTTCCTAACATGCAGTATTTTTTTCCCATCAGCAAGCCTTGACTTACTCTGTCAGCTCTTACTCACATCTAGGCTTGAACAGTTTGTGTGACCAACCAGAAATGGGTTCATGTGTTCCTTTAGCAAACATTTTTGAGAACTGACAATAGCCTATGAACAGCCATATAGACGCCTTGGCTGTGTGGAAAGAGCAGTGATGGAGACAGGTGTCCAGGGCTGTGTGGGAACAGAGGGAGTGAGGGCTGCTGCGCTCTGCAAAGTCTCAAACTTAGATGACATAGTCCTGCTGTGTTCACATAGAAACATCCCTTCTTTCTCCAAGTGTCCAGTATCCAATAGTCCAGTTCCTACAACATGAATGGATATGTTTAAGAAAAGGTTTGCATGAGGGAAATGACTGAATTATTGGTGTAGAGAACTTATTCTCTCCCTCACCTCTTTTTAACAATGCAGTTATGGATGTACAAGCATTTGAGAGGCTTCTGGGGCCCTGCATGGACATCATGAAGAGGAACGTCTCACACTACGAGGAACAGCTGGTGAAGATGTTCGGCTCCAGCATGGATCTGATAGATCCTGGGCAGTAGGTGTGCCACACCCCAGAGCCTTCTCAGTGTGACACCAAAACCTTCCAGTCAGCCACAGAACACAAACAGAAAATGTGACAGAACCGTTCCTGCTGTTGCCACCACCACTGCCATTGCTATGGCTGTGGGCGTTTAGAAAACTTGGAAGTCAGCACTAAAGGATGGGTAGAGGTTCAACCCACACCTCCACTTTGCTTCTGAAAGCCCATTATTAGACCACTTGTAATGATTACTCCAACCCAGTTTTCACATCTCTGGTTCAAAATGGCATGTCTCTCCAAAAATTTAAGTGCCTGATACAAAGTCCAAAGTGTAAACATCTTCCTTTCCTCTCTTGCTGCTACTGTTGCTTTTAGAAGTTACCACAGGTTGGCACAAACCTGTTGTATAACTGTAGACACCCTCCCCCAACCTTTTATAGCCTTCCGTTTCCTCATTTGTCCTTTGAGAAAGTCCACAACTGTAGCCTTTGGCTTTACCATCAAAAATGGTGGCAGATGTGATGGAGGTCTGTGGTCCTGTGGCATTGTACTGTCTGCTGACAGTGGCACACATGACAGCTGTCCCCAAACTCTCAGTGATGCTTAGGGAGAGACCCTGCCCAGGGCCCAGCAGGTCAGCACCCCAAAGCACACTGATCAGACATCGGAACCCACGTTAGAGCAGAAAATTTGAGTTTAGCACATTTTACAGGTAGCAGAGAGCCAGGGAAGGTTTTCTGGGTTGGGGGCGGGGGTGTTTTATTTTGTTTTAGTAGATTTTGTTTTGTTTAATCTCTGTGCAGTTTGCATGAGTGAATTGCTGTCCATTTGTAAGGAGCTGGGGTCTGGGAGTGCCATCACCGTATCTGACCTAAATACTTTCCTGGGCAACTCCTGCCCATCTCTTATTACCAGTTGCTCTTACTGATGGCAGTGTGCTGGCAAAGAGAGACCTTTCCCTCTACTCCAGAGTTGTTATGTAGCTTTGCTGTTGAACCATCAATTTTTAAACTCTTTAAAGAAGCAGCAGCTATTTTTTTGGAAAAAAAAACCGAACTCTCTATTTAGAGAATTTCCCTGGACATATTCATATATATCAGTTTGTCAGCTGACTCAGGCATTCATCTTAAAGATCAGCTCTTTTTGTTAGTTTTTAAAAATCAGCATCATTTACAATTTCATAGAATTACTGCAAAGACCTTTCTAATTAAGATGTTGGGATGGGCTTCCCTGGTGGCGCAGTGGTTGAGAGTCTGCCTGCCGATGCAGGGGACATGGGTTCGTGCCCCGGTCCAGGAAGATCCCACATGCCGCGGAGCGGCTGGGCCCGTGGGCCATGGCCACTAAGCCTGTGCGTCCGGAGCCTATGCTCCGCAACGGGAGAGGCCACAGCAGTGAGAGGCCCGCGTACCGCAAAAAAAGAAAAAAAAAAGATGTTGGGATATTTCGGGTTCCAGTTGTTAATCCCAGAGGAAAGTAATTTAGCTTGTATTTTAAAACTTTTTAAACCTTTTGATTATATCAGGTGGAAATCTAATGAATTATCGTAATTAACCAGATATATTTCAGAATGAAATTTTTTTTCTTCAGAATAACCTAGAATCAGATGCTACAAGAGATCCTAAGAACAGTATGAAATTTACCTAAAGATAAATTTGGATGTCATAGCCAAGTTTATATTAAATCAAGAGGCCCTTTCCAATATGAATTTTTTAAACTTGTATATCTCAATAAATCCCTAAGCGATTACATGCTGGGGCTTGAGTCATTCCTGTTGTAGACAGTGATAGAGACCATATGGTCACCTTCCATTGTCCTCCTAAGCCAGGCTGTCTGCTTTTGCCATGAACAGTATGGTCAAGAGATTTTCAGAGTGGTGACCCATCACAACCTTGGTCAATTCTCCCTTTTTCTTGTGCTCCATGAAGTGAAAGCAGAAGGACTCTTTCAGACTGCCCTAGGTAGCCTGCCTTACAGCTCTCAGAATTGTGAAACATTGTAACTAATACTCCAAAACAGGAGCTAGCACTGGGAAAGCCTGTGTGGTTTTTCCCACGGTTTTCTGAGGTTCTTATTTTCTATGGTGTTGCTTTATTATCAAATATAAATTAAGAAAGCAGATATTGCACTTTAGCAGACAAGAACCATACCTGTTTCTTACACAGGTAATAGGTACATTCAACTTCAGGAGTGACACAGAGGTGTAGCCCCCAGACTGTGTAAGGACTCTGTTTAAACACTGAGCGGGTGAACTTCCCTGGTGGTGCAGTGGGTAAGACTCTGCGCTCCCAGTGCAGGGGGCCTGGGTTCGATCCCTGGTCAGGGAACTAGATCCCACATGCATGCCACAACTAAGGAGCCTACATGCTGCAACTAAGGAGCTGGCAAGCCACAACTAAGGAGCCTGCCTGCCTCAACTAAGACCCAGCACAACCAAATAAAATAAATGTTTTAAAAATAAAAATAAATAAATAAACAAACACAGTGGATGCTCCCTTACACCCCGCATGCCAGCATTAGTTAGGGCCAGCTGTGAACTCCGACCCAGTCACTCCCGCAGGCTGCTAGGGATGGGACTTCTCATCTTGCCCTCTTTCACATCCCAGTTCAATCTTCCCCTTCATAGGAGCCTCTTTGACACCCCCAACTTACTGATGCTTTCGGTTTTACAAAGTAGATTCATCAGGCTTAAGTCTTCCTGCTCTAACTGCGGATTGACATATGGATCATCAGTCCAGACCCTCACTGCGTATAGGGCCCCTTGAGGATCTGACTTGAGGAAGGGAGACTTTACAGGGACCAGTGTGAGTGAAAAGGACACAGCCATTACCAAGGTGCCAGGAGTCTGACAGTGTTCCAATTCTCTTTACAGCATGAGGAATCGAAGGTGGCAGACCAAGTTCAGCTCAGGACTCTGGTGTCCACATTGTGCTGGGCAAGTCCTGCACTGAGAGTTGAGCCTCACAGGGAGGAGCATGTGTTGGGAAGAGGTCTTTTTTTTTTTTTTTTTTTTTTTTCCGGTACGCGGGCCTCTCACTGTTGTGGCCTCTCCTGTTGCGGAGAACAGGCTCCGGACGCACAGGCTCAGCGGCCATGGCTCACGGGCCCAGCCGCTCCGTGGCATGTGGGATCTAACTGGACCGGGGCACGAACCCGCGTCCCCTGCATCAGCAGGCGGACTCTCAACCACTGCGCCACCAGGGAAGCCCAGGAAGAGGTCTTTTTGATAATTGTTTTATACTGGTCTCTTCTATGATGGTTTAGAGCTTCATGCTGTCTTTTCTGGCTTTGCTATTGATTTTGCATGGTGGAGAATGTACCTGAGAGCCTTGAGGTTCAAGCTGCAGTATTATTCTTCCTGCTGGCCCCAGTTTATCACACCCACTTCCTTCTTTTGGTTGTATTCTCTGAAGGAAGGGTTCATCTGCTCTGTCCTCTTAGTCCATAGTCCTTATATATAAATATGTTATGTATAATTGCAGTAGATTCTTAGAAATCAGGGTGGAGCTTTTCTTTGAACAGTTTAACGAGCAAATTCAGCAGCAAAGTGTCAAGAAATGATTCTCCAGCCAGGAGAGGTCATGTTCATCCTCTTATTGCCCAGATTCTCTAGTCACAACGGTACAGTAGTCAGTGAGAGGTGCCACTGGCACCCAACAGCCCCTGGGCACACAGCATTTCCATGTCCTGTCACAGTGTACAAACAATTCTCTCATTTAGGAAAATTGAACGAGCATTTTTGCACAGAGAAAAATGAAAAAGACCCATGAATGTTATCTTTTATATTTTGTTTTCAGTTGGCTAATGTTGAATTTTTTGTTCTTGACATGCACTTGTAAACCAATCTTGCCAAGATACAAGTTGTTTTGGTTTTTCACTACAATTACCTCTTGTTCCTCCTGTCCTTGACTGCTGACGTTCCTCAATGATTCTAATGTCTATTTTATGGGAAGCAGCCTTCCCATGGGTTTCCTTTTACACACTGCAGGGCTATCTTTATACTTCTAAAAAAAAGGAGAAAACTGTCACTAAACTCATGGGGGATTTGCAGAAAACCATTTAGCCCACCTTGAGCAAAAGGTAGATTCCTCATTGTTTTCCTAAGTTCATTGTAACAAAAGAAATCTAATTCAGCATTATTGTGCTACCTCAAAGGTAAACATGTTTTAAGGTCTTTTTTGGTCCTGAGTTCTACACATAGTGTTTGAAATGTCTCTCAGTTGGAATTATTTTTAAATCATTGGGGAGAATCTTATTTTAACCTGTTTTACACTTGTATTTTAATCTCAGAAGAATAAGTGATTAGAAGGTGATCAATTCTTGCTCTGTAGTATTGAACATATGATTAAATCATTGTTTGCCATAAACAAGGTTGGGTTTTTTAAAAGGAAACTCTAGGTCTCAGCTTTGCTCTTGGTTAATAAAGGCTGACAAATCACATCTGAATTTTTGGTGCAGCCTTGTGTTGTGTGTTTGTCCTCATTTCAGGGTTCTATCCATCACAGCATTCATCTAGCAGGTACATTTTTGAGATTGGGGTGTGAGCTCTTAAAAATTAGAGAGGAGGCCTGGACATATATATTAGGGTTCTCCAGAGAAACAGAACCAATAGCGTGTATGTGTGAGGTATGTGTGTGTGTGTGTATATATAAAGAGATTTATGGGAATTCCCTGGCAGTCCAGTGGTTAGGACTTGGCGCTTTCACTGCCATGTCCCCAGGTTCAATCCCTGGTCAGGGAACTAAGATCCCACAAGCTGCACAGCACAGCCAAAAAAATAGAGAGAGAGAGAGAGATTTACTATAAGGAATTGGCTCACACAGTTATGTAAGTTCCAGGATATGAAGGGCAAGTTGGCAAGCTGTAGACATAGGAAAGCTGATGGTTTAATTCTAGTCTGAGTCTGAAGACCTGAGAACCAGGAGAGCCAATAGCATATTTCCCACCCAAAGGCTGGCAGGCTTAAGACCCAGGAAGAGATGATGTCCCAGTTTGAAGGCAGTCAGGCAGGATAATTCTCTCTTACTTGGGAGAGTCAGGCTTATTGTTCTGTTCAGACCTTCAACTGATTGGATGAGGCCCACCCACATTAGGGAGGGCAATCTGCTTTACTCAGTCCACTGATTTAAATGTTACTTTCATCCAAAACCACCTTTTCAGAAACTCTCAGAACAATGTTTGACCAAATATCTGGGCACCCCATGGCCCGTAAGTTGACACATAAAATTAACCATGACAACATGGTATTTGAATTGTTTGGGGATGGTGTACAAGGGCATCCAATATATCCCTTGCTGGGGAAGATATACTCACCAATGAAGCCCAGCAGAAAATATCTCCTGTCTGACAATATTGATTATTTCCTTCTCTGTAACATGGCTGTAACCAGAACTAGCAATGACTTTGCGATAGCCTGCTGTATTTATAGTTTGCTTCCTAGTGTCCAAAGGAAGCTCATTCTGTAACAAAATCATGTTCCACTTTGATCTTGCCTTCACCTGGCAGTACAAAAGGGCCAAGTAATAAGTGAATATAAAAAATATCCACGTGGGGCCCAAGAAACTAGTAGTTGAACCCTCAAAGCCAAACTGACCTTGTTTCAAGGCTTTAAAAATTAAATATGGTTTGGCCTTTGTGGTTTTGGTGGTGGTATTGCTATGAACAATTAGGAAGTGCCAGGACTATGACAAGATCATATGGTCCACAGTCTCAGCCTTGAAGAGTGAATATCTTAGGAGGACTTTGCTTTCTATGTATGTTCTAACAGGAAGCTAGAAATCTGTGCCATCAAAATTACCTGAATATTGGGACTTCAATGGCTGTCCAGTGGTTAAGACTCTGCGCTTCCACTGCAGGGGGCATGGGTTCCATCCCTGGTTGGAGAACTAAGATCCTGCATTCCACGTGGTGTGGCCAAAAGTTAAAAAAAAAAAAAAAATTACCTGAATATATCCTTAGCAATCTTAGTGCATCAATTTTATAGCAACAGAGTTAAAACAGTATTACTTATAATGTGATTAAGGAAATTGGGGTTGTTTCACAAGACATTCATGTTAAATATGAATTTTGCTTCCTTTACCCATCCTCTCTACAGACAAATGCCTTATCACAGATGATAGCCAGTGATACATACTGTTACCTGATTGGGGAAATGCAGAGTGTCAACCAGGAACATATTAAATAATCAGTTGTGAATTCAGATGAGATGAGTATTATCTAAGTTCTGAATTAGAATGTCAGAAATTAGGTCTGACTCAGCTCATTTGTTCATTGAACAAAATCTTGATTACCTGCTGTGGCCATTCCTGACACTGTTTAAATCCCAGGAATTATCAAGAGTAATGACGCTGGGGTCCGAAGGGCATTCCTGGACCTTTCCTCCAGTGCTATGGAGCTTATCCTCATGTTTCTGGACTCACATGGACAGCAGCCCCAGTCTCCTATTTCAAGGATGATCATGCTTCCAGTGCCTGTTGTTGCCCTTGGTCATGCTGCTCTTCTCTATATGGCTCCCATTGCCTCTTCTTAAAGTGAGTAGTTTGGACACACAAGCATGCAATGTTCCTCACTGCTTTAGCTTGCATCACATAATTATGGTTACAGAAGCATCTAGGAAGCTGTCAAAAGAGAAAGACTAGATTTAAGATTTTAAGGAAAGCTCCCTCCAGGTAAGGACATCTCAGAAATTGTCATCTTCATACTAGTCATCCTAAATATCAAGATTAAGTTTCGCTGGATATGCCTTTCTGGCCTAGGTTGTCTTCTCTGATGATGTGCTAAGAATCAAATTTTGTGGGAAGTGTCTCTTTTGTGTGACATTTCCACCCCTTCCTCTTTGACTCTTTCCCAAATAGAATCCTTGATCCTGTGGGCATTTCTCTCTATTCTGTGTCTTTAAGTACACAGAGTCAAGCAATGCCCAGCCCATTTGAAGACTACAGGGCAGGAGGCTGACCAGACCGGAATATGAAACCACAGGGGGACTGGGAGCTACCGCAGACACTAGGAAAGCGAGCAGGACCTGACTTCACTAATCAGTCCATCCTGACAGGCAGAAGAATGGGTATTTGCCAGTCAGCTCTTGGGGAAGAGCTGTCGAAACAGATAGTACCAGACAAATCTCCATGGCCCTTCCTCCCTCTGCAGAATTGCACTGAGGCAAGGGTCAAAAGCCACTGTATATGCTGCTGAAAGCTAGGATCCAGCAATCTCCTCTCTGGCTAGGCCCTCCAATCCCCAGAAAGAGGAGGCAGAGGTGTGCAGCTGTATTTTTTTTTTTCCTAGCAAACAAGTAAAAAGGAAGAGCTAAAGTCCAGACCCACCAGATGAGCAGACCAGCACTTTCCAGCATAATATTCAAGCATAGTTAAACTGGACATTTTTATTCTGAAAATGAAAGGCCTGGGCGTGAAGGGACACCTGCAGTACACATTCCCATACCTGCCATGAGCCCATCCCAGACAGCTGAAGAAGCAAGGGACCTGAAGCTAAGTCTTAGGCCTGTAGGACAGGCAGGGAAGAGGCCTTTGAGGCAGATGTGCATTAGTTCCAGGCAAGTGAGAATCCTGCATGAGCCACCTTGGACCACTGGCATCCTGTCTCAGAGCTGTGCGGCCAGCCCCATGCCTGGGGTGAGAAATAGGGCCATGCATGGGCTCAGATGACCCCAGGAATCGGCCTGGACCTCTAAATGAGGGGCTCTTCCCTGTGGCAGCTCTGGAAGCCATAGCACTTTCCCAAACAGGATGGAGCTGGGGGACAGAGGGTATATGACCCACAGACCTCCAACTCAGGCACTGCTTCTACCTCAGAACTCACGACGGTTCCACCAGGCTGGCAGCTCCTGCCTGAGGCGAGTCAGACGAGGATGAGTTGGAGTTCTCATCTAGGGCCTTCGCTTGCTCCACTGTGAAGAAAGAGGTAGGCTTATGGGAAGGCGTCCACCCCCACTGCCCTTGGCTTTGCCCACAGGCATTGGCCCAGGAGGATTCCAGCCTTGCCTCTCACATGCCTGGGCTGGGCCAAGGCCCAACTACAGTAGGTGGCTGGAGCCCAGTGGCTGGTGTGGTCTCTCCCATTGTGCTCACTTTAAGCTGGGCATCTTGGGCTCACAGAAAAAGCAGCCCCTACTCTCTGACAGAGCTGGCCTGTTGACTGAAAACTAGGGTGGGTTATCCTAGTACCTGATAAATGGGTGAAACTATTTTATAACATAAGAGGGCGAGCCTCACATCTGGGACCTGGTCGAAGGGCCAGGTTTACAACATGCAAGTGAAGGTACATTAAAAGTGCAGGTGTAGGGGCTTCCCTGGTGGCGCAGTGGTTGAGAGTCCGCCTGCCAATGCAGGGGACACGGGTTCGTGCCCCGGTCCAGTTAGATCCCACATGCCACGGAGCGGCTTGGCCCGTGAGCCATGGCTGCTGAGCCTGCGCGTCCGGAGCCTGTGCTCCGCAACGGGAGAGGCCACAACAGTGAGAGGCCCGCGTACCGCAAAAAAAAAAAAGTGCAGGTGTAGGGCCCACTGAGACCAGGCTGGCCTCCAACACAATGGGAATTTTTCCGAGTGCCTCTCTAGAGTCTTCACTTCCCACATGTGCTGGTAACAAGGGTGTATGTGTCGAGGATGCTGGGAATCACCTCCACTCTGGCCCTGTGGAATCATTTTCTTGGTAATTTTGCTGCCTTTTGTTTTGGGGAAAAAAAAAATCTTAGGAATGATTTGCAGCCAGCCCCTCCCCACATGGACCAGTCCCAGGCCTGGCTGGGGTTGGGGGAACATCTGGGATTTGAGTCCCTCCCCTGCCCAGGTGAGAACATCATGTTCCCTACTCAGAGATGCATATCCAACCCTTGAGTGCTGGGGGCCCTGGGAGGACTCCAGGCTGGAGAGGGTGGGTTGAGTGAGAATGACCAGCTCTATTTGAGAAACAGGAAGGGAAAGGAATTCCGAGAGATGTCTGATTCCAGAACAACTGTATGCACTCCCATCCCCACCGCTCCCCAGGCCCAGGCCCTAGCAGATAGGAGCGCTACCTCAATTCCAGCCCCGGGCCAGGGCTGCGTGGAAGGGACAAGGTGCCACAGGGGAGCCACAGTTGTTCACACACATAAATCAGGCTCCCCAACTGCAGTCTCCTCAACCTCCTGGTCCAACTCTCATCCCCTCCACCTTTGGACGACTTCTTTCACCCTGGCCCATTCCTGCCTGGGGCCTGGTTACATCCCTGAGATGAGGTCTCTGATCAGCACCTCCCTGCCATCCTTCACCTCCAGGCCCCTTGCACTGCTTGCTGCCTGGCCCTGTCCTCTAACCTCTTGCATCCCTGCTCACCCTCCCCCAGCAATGGCCTCACCTTGATTTTAGGGAAAAAACAGAAGCGATGGGTCAGAAGCTCAGGGCTCCTCCTCTGACCCCATGTCCTCCTCTAGCTCCTGCCCCACTGTTCTCCCTTCACAGCAAAAGCCTTGAGATTTGCCTGCAGTTGCCTCCTCACCTCCCATTTGTCACAGCGCAACCCTGCCCTCCCGAGTGGCTAACACGGGCAGACAGAGCTGATGCACAGATGAGGACAGAGCCGGCTCTCTGGAGTCTCAGCCGAATTCACCATGGCAAACTTCCTCCTGCTTCAAGAACCACCTTCTCAGAATTCCCTGGCAGTCCAGTGGTTAGGACTCCACGCTTCCACAGCAGGGGGCACGGGTTCGATCCCTGGTCGGGGAACTAAGATCCCGCAAGCCAAGCAGCACTGCCAAAAACAAACAAAAAAACACACCACCTTCTCAGGAGCATCCAGTTCTCCTGGTTTTCTTCCAACCTCCATTGCCAGGTTTTACCGAGGCTAGAGTTAAATGTTGAAGCAACCCAGGGCTCCACTCTGGGTTTTCCTCTCTCCCTCCCTGGGAGGTTTTGTCAGGGACAGCCTGGCTTGGGGTGTTATCTCCATGCTGCTCACTCCCAATTTATACCTCCATCTGGGACACTCCACTGAGCCGAGTGTCCAGTAGTCCCAGGCCAGGGTCCCTCTCCTGTCTCTTCACTCTACCCACTGGGAACTTTCTGCAACGTTTGCTTTTCTTTCCTTTCATTTTTAAATTAAAAAAAATTTTAAGTGTGGAATATACCAAGGGTGCATAAAACAAGAACATTCTGCTCACTGGTTTCTCATAGGCCAAACACTCACAAAGTACAACCCAGATGAAGAGCACTGTCAGGTCCCTGCAGCCCCTCTTGGGGCACACCAGCCATTCCTCCCTGCTCTATCCTGAGTTTTAAGGTAAGGTCTTTCTTGATTGTTTCTATCACCTAAACATACCTCTCTAAAGAGTCACTTTCCAGGACTTCCCTGGAGGTCTAGTGGTTAGGACTCAGTACTTTCACTGCTGTGGCCCTTGGTTCAATCCCTGGTCGGGAAACTAAGATTCGCAAGCCATTCAGCCTGACCCCCCCCAAAAAAAATCACTTTCCTCGTATGGTGAAATATATACCTATAATTAAATGCATAAGGGTGAACCCACCCTAACTTCTAGTTTTTAGTGCAGTCTTCTATCTTTTTCTCTTGTGCTTACCTCTGCCTCTCCCTTCTATCACCATCACTCTCTGGAACCCTTGGTTGCAAGAATATGTTGCCTACATTTCTCCTTGTTTATATAATTATATATATATATATATATATATATATGCACACTATACATATATACACACATTTACACAGAGTGGTTTGTCTTTGGTTTACATATTTAGATCATTTTGTATACACCTTTCTGCATCTTACCTTTCTCATCTTAATTTTGTGGCAGGCTCTCCAATTCAAGTGGTATTATTTATTCCAATTCCTTCTTTTTGATGAAAACTCAAAACGGGTCCACACACTTTCCAATACTTCTCTTACAAAATGTGGAGTCTAATTTCCCTCTCCTTGGATATAGCCTGGCCTTAATAACTTTGCTTCTAATGAATAGAATCAGGCAGAAATGACTCTGTGACTTCTGAGTCTAGGTTAGAAAGATGATACAGCTTCCACCTGTTTTGCTGTCTCTTGAGACAATCACCCTTGGAAACTAATAACCACCATGTTGTGAGGAAGCCCAGGGCACATGGAGAGGCCACGTGTGGGTGTTCCTGGGCAGTCCAGTGCTTAGGACTCGGCGCTCTCACTGCTGAGGGCTGCGCGGCCAGAAAAAAAAAAAAAGAAAAAAGAAAAGTCTTAGCTGACAGCCAAAATCAAACACCAGAATTCAAGTGAGGAGCCTTCCGATGATTCCAGCCCTAGCTTTTCAGCGGCCCAGACTGATGCAGCAGAGAAGAGCAGTCTCCACTGAATTCTTCACAAAGGGCAGATTTGTGAGCAAAATAAATGTTGCTATTTTAAGCCACTAAATTTGGGTAATTTTTTACACAGTATAGTAACCAGAACAATATGGAGGTACCAAAATGTCACCAACTGTGCTTTTGTGAATGGGCCATCACTTTGCAAATATTTTCCACTACACCTATTTCTATAAGTGAGAATCCCAAGATTGGGATTATAGGGCCCAAAAGCATATGCTTTTTTTTTTTGATGTGGAAAGTCTTTATTGAATTTGTTACAATATTGCTTCTGTTTTATGTTTTGTTGT